TCTTCCGTCATGCTCCAAGCTACAAGTGTACTTTTGGCGTTTACACCAGGTGAAGACTGTTGATACACATTCCTTCCAACCTTGAAGCTACCAGTGTTGTCTGCCGGCAGCACTATTGATTGATTCGTCCTACCACCCCCATATATAGCCTGTGTGGCGAAACGAGACAGACGCCACAATGCCTAATACCGACGGCACGGACTGGCCCAGGTGAGAAGAGGCCAGCCATTCGACTCCGTACTCATAAGCCGCCATCTTTCATTCCCTCTCCCCCCCCGCCGCCCTGCTTCTTCTCTTTGTGGCTCACGCGATGGCCGGCCAGGCTGTGCGATAGGCTCCTCTAGCCCTTCGGTCCAAGCCGCCAGCCATCCCTCGCCGCTCCACTCGCCCGCTTCATGCATCCAACTTGCATGAATCACCTTCAGCCCGGCTTCACCCCGAATCCTCTCCTCCCACTGGTGTTTTTTTTTGTTTTTTTTTCTTTAGTCTTGCTCTACTGCAACTAACAAGTTTGGGTGACTTTTCGTCTGGAAGCAGACACTGTGATGACGCAGGATGCTCCACGGCATGTGCGAGTGCTTGTTCTGCTTCTACTTGTACCTCACAGCTGCAGCTTGGCCGTGTCTATCCCACGGAGCCATGCATCTTTTCTCGACTCCAGCAAGTCGAGTATGAGTACAGACACAGACGGTATTCGGCTAGTGACAAACCATCATCTGATGTCTTTGGTAATGTCTTCATGTTAGATGGACACCAAAGAAAAGTGCTGAGCAATGCCAAGTGCGGGGATCCCGGCTTCATCCAAACCCCCTCCCAGCTTCCCGTAGCCTTTTCTGTGCTCGTGCTCGTTTCCTTGGCTGCATGATGGCAAGCCGGCAAGAATGCTGCCGAAGAATCCAGTCTTGACACGATACACAGTGCAGAGGCAATCAAGAACGATGCCAGTTCCGCCCCCAGTCTCACCCAAGTCTTTTTGCCTTGACCCGCCTCGTCTTCTCATGGAGACGATTCGAGTCCGAGTTCAGCCCACTTTACAGCACATGGCTTCTTATCTCAGAACTGCCCGGCTTACACCGGGAAGCCAACACCAAAACCAGCATTGGTGGCAGCCCAGTTCGCCGGTGCCTACAGTACGGTGCATTGCAGAGGCCTGCGAGCTAATGCACCCGCGGCAGAAAGGATGCGTCTGTCCTGTCCTGTCCTGTCCTGTCCTGTCCTGCCCGAGCAGGCCGTGAAGCTAAAGAGCCAAAAGCGAGAGGTGCATTGCATCGATATATTGGTGATTGGTTCCGGTGTGGCGCTTTCTGGAACCGACGGCCCACAAATGCTGGAATTTGGTGGCCCGGATATTATTTGATATCTGGGGCTTTGCTAATAGGTCGGTTGCTGTTAAATTGCCTCTCTCGTTAGGGGAGAGGTGAGAGGCCTCGTGGATGGAACCAGCAAGCTTGGTGAGTTGATTTGATGGATTAGCCTGCAGTCTGTGGGTGAGTTTCTCATCGTTTGCGTGCAATGTTAGTATGTATGCTCCCAGCAACTATGATTTACATTGCATGCTTTGGCTAACAGGAGGACGCTGTAAGCCAATATATCCTGCTTGTGCATATGCAGCCATAGCAAAAGACAATACAATCATTGGCAAGCCCATCCACAGGAGATTACAGTACCTGATAGAACAGAAACTCCCTGATTACTGTTTGATTAACCTTGACCATACGTTACCCCCGAGGAACTAATATCAGCAGCCAAAGGGTATGGCCACAAGATTGAGTTTGAGCAGAGTGGCTTCTAAGCTACCCTATAATCAGGCACCTCGTCACATCCCAACTCCATCAACACAACCTTTTTCATCAAAAAGCATCCTATTCTTCAGTCTTCTCACCTGCTCATCGACTCAATTTTTATCAAGCTTTTGTATAATATCTCACAACTCAACTTTTTTTTGCAATCATGGTGAGAGGCTGCCGTCGTTCAGCTTCTCTGGCACACGGACCGCCGAGGTACTCGAACTAACAGCCATTTTCCTAAAACATGCAAGTACCTTTTCAATGACATCCGGTAAAATGGAATTGGCAGCCCGGCAAAAAAAAAAAAATCCAAATCCAAATCCAACGACGTCATCGAACGACCCTGTTGGCTCCTACATCGACATACCTCATCTACCTTAGTACCTTAGGTAGGTAGTAATTCATTCATCTTTTTCTCATTACAACCTTGTACATAGGTATCAACTCCTGTGTAACCCGCCCATCCTTCAAATGTACATGTATCGTTAGCCTCAGATCTCTCTCCATCATGTCTTCCTCCAAGTCCAAATCCGCCCCCCTCATCTCCTCCAGGCCCGTCGCCGACTCGGATGACGACTCCGAGCTCGAGCTCGACTCGGTCCTAGAACTAGAACAAGAACAAGAGCAAAGCCAGGAACGGGAACACGAAAACGACTCCGTCTCACTGCCCGACTCGCCACTGCTCGTCCCCGCCCAGACGCAGCCCAAATGGCTTCGTCCCCCGCGATGGTTCCGTCTCGACCGGAGCAGCCGGTGGACGCTCTGGTGGCGCCGCGTCCTCGCCTCAGCTGCTGGCCTGGTGCGCCCTCGCCGGAGCTGGCGGTACGCAGCAGTGGTGCTCGTGTCCGTCTACGCCCTGCTGTGTCTCGTGCGTGGCGTGCCGCTGCTGGCCTCGCCGCTGCCGGCATACTCGGGCCCGTATCACGTCGGCGCCGTCGACGTCGAGATTGCCCTCGACAAGCCGCGGCTGGTGTCCGAGACCGTCTTCAAGGCCACCGGCCGCCCGGCGTTTGAGCACAAGACGACGCTCTTCACCGTCTACTATCCCGTCGACAAGAGCGTCGGGGAGCGCCGGCGCAGGCACGACTGGATTGCGAGGCCAGTCAGCCTGACGGCGGCCGGCTATGCCAAGCTTGCCCACGTCGACAACTTCATCGTCCGGCCGATATTTACCTTTGCGCTGTGGGCGATTGCGGGCGGCATCACGATTCCCGCAAAGGTCGATGCGCCACTGCTTAGTGTGACAGATGCTGAGCCGTTCCCCGTCATGGTCTTTTCCCACGGCGATGCCAGCTCGAGGACCGACTACACTCACTTTGTCGGCGAGCTTGCCAGTCGTGGATACGTCGTCGCAGCCATAGAGCACCGAGATGGGAGCTGCCCCGGGTCTCTCATGCGGATCAAGGGACAGGACGACAAGAAGCTCCTCACCTTTAGAGAAGCAGAACTGTCATCCGACCCCCCCATGGACGCCGCCAGATACAAGCGCGAACAGCTCGCCTTCCGAGATGCCGAAATCCTGGACACGATCAACATCCTGCGCGCCATCAACAGTGGCAAAGGCGACGACGTCTTCAGCCGCAACTCCCGCCGTGAGGGCTCCCACCTGGGCGACTGGGCCGGCCGCCTCGACTTTGGCAACCTGACCATCGCAGGCCACTCCTTTGGTGCCACCGGTGCTCTCCAGGCTCTGAAGCACGCCCCCTCGGACATCAACCCTGCCGTCGGGGGCATCATCCTCGACCCGGGCAAGGCCAGCGGCCCTCTCAACGCCGTCATCGACGTGCCCCTCCTCATCGTCCACTCAAACACCTGGTCCAAGCAACGCAGCGTCTTCTACGGCCGTCCGCACTTTGACACCGTCAAGGAGCTCGCCCTCGGCGTGCTGAACCGCACCCCCAGCCACTCGTCCTGGTTCCTCACCAGCATCGGCACTTCCCACCCCAGCGTCTCCGATGCGCCTCTGATCGAGCCCCTGCTGCTCAGCTGGACAACCGGCGCGACGCTCAACACCAAGGAGGCCCTGAGGGAGTACGTCCGCGTGACGGACGACTTTTGGCACTTTCTCCGCACGTCGCGAGGCGTCAACTCTTCACGCACGCAGCATGAGCTTGTGCGTGGGGGCGAGATGAGGGGTGTCTTGGCCGAGAAGGTGACGCATGAAGAATACGGCACCTGGATCAGCCAGGAGCGCAAGGACGAGTTTCCAAAAGCCATGGCTCGGCTCTGGGAAGTCCATGTCAGCCCCGTATCCTACGACGAGGACGACGATGATGATGCTAAACAGTGGTGACGATGATGACGATGGTTGCTTTCCCTCTCTCCTGCATGTTTTCCGGCTTGATTTGCGTATAGAGATACATACGACTAATTCCTGACCCCTTTAATATCCCCGTTACATAGGAGGACCGCCTTTGTGTAAAAATGTCTTGTATAATACCTGGTTATCATAATAAATACTCGATATATAACAACAGTATCACTGCCCAAGCAGTTTAGTTTATGACGGTAAAATTGAACAACTCTTGAGTGTTGTATGATAAGACACCTATAACAGTATACACTTACTCTACACGAGCCCCCTGTCCCCCCAACATGACCAACAACCGGCCGCACCAACAACATTAGGCTGCAATTCACCCACAAGGCATGGATAATCATTCCTCAATTGGACGTTGCTGAGCATTTTTGAGTTGGATGGGTATACGGTCGACGACTTTTACGATTGGGCTGCCCATCTTCAGAGACCAATCTCCAAGTCATGATACCAGCTCGACGTTGGACGAGTTTCTTTTTGCCGAGACGCTGGTCTATGTGGTGCTCGCGGATGGCGATACGATGGTGGCGACACAAGAACAATTAGAAGAAGCGGAGGATATCCCACAAGTCTTTGGCGTCTCTTTCCCACAACACACGGATTTCACGCCATTACCTACAATTACATGGTTGTCGGTCAGCATAGAGAACCAATGCTCAACTTGGAAACGTCGGTGGTGAATGAAATAAAGCCAACATCAAGACTGCAGAGATTCCATCTAGCCTCTATTGAAACCATGTCTCTGTGGCCTAGCTAAGCTACCAAAACTACCTGGTTATAATAAGTCATGAATTCAGCAATATCGACTTTTTGCCTTGTCAACACTAACACCTGTCATTCTAAATCATGCAGCATCCAGAAATAATATATGCTCTAACCTCATACCCCCTCTCAACTTAGACAAAGGCAGCCGACAGACTATCGCTGCTTTGTCGCGCCTGACTACCCGCGACTCTCTGCTGCCGGCTGCTCAGAAACAGGTCCACCATCCTCCTGCTTCCCATGGTCTGCGCGTCAAAGTCTCGACGCCCCAACTCGTCAATTCCCGGGTCTGCTTCCGACCCAAGTTCGCCCGACGGCTCTTCCGCCTTCCATACCCGTGGTGAGCCTGTCCTACTAACCCCAAACTGCCTCTCGAGAGCGGTCGTAAAGCCTGGGCTGGACTTGGCCGATGCGTCATTTGCTCCAAGACGAGTCCGTGACCGTCGTTTGAGGCGCGCCTCTTCTCTGACGGGATCGAATGGCCTGGAGCATGTGTTGAGAGAGGATGTTCGCGGCTCAATCACCAACGAGTCGAGGTTGGCTACACAAGTGTTGACGTTGGGCACCGAAGGGATAGTACGCAGATTGTCCTTTGCAGCCACGGGCGAGGAGTCTTTACCATGTAGGCTTTTGGGTCGTGCCCCTGATATCAGTGGCGAGTTTTCGTTGGTAGTCGTCGTAGACTGGGGCCGCCAAGGATTCGCAAGATAAGACTGCTCTCTTGCCATTGCTGTCAAGACGGAGGGACTGCCATAGTCCTTGCTCGGCGCCAGCTTAGGTGGTAGGCCGGCACCTGCTGTGACTTGAGGATACCCATCCTCATCAGACTCAATCTCCGTCTCAATCTCTGCCTTCTCTCTGACATGACTAAAATCCTGGGAAGCAGACCAAGGCTCTTGTGGGAAATCAGGCTTCAGTGTCGTTGGAGGCGTCTCCAGCTTAGACACGTTGGCGCTTAGCCACGTCTTCCACTCGACGGAGCTAGCGGAAGAGCTATCTCGAGTATGACTCGGGGGCGGCAGCTGCCGTCTTTCTGTGCTGATGAAAATGTTGGCATCTCCGTGAACTTGGGGCCCTGGCTCGTCTTCTGTTGATCTCGAAGCAGATGAGGTGCTATAAACATGGGGCGCATTCTCTTCACTAGAGTTAGAGTACACGCTCTCTGCGTATGTCACTCGCACATCGTCATCAGAATCTTCTATGCTTGGACGGCGCGTAGGCAGACTAATCCCAGACAGGGCGCTGATATCTTTGGCATTAGGCGTCCGGAGCTGATCGTCTGCTTGAGCGGCCTTCATGCTCTCTTGCAGGGCCCGACGATATGGACTGGTCGTACGAAATAGGTGGCATGTCGGACTGGCAAAAAACGCCGAGCTTCGTCCAGAGAGCGTTGGTTTTTGTGATTCACCAGCTGCAAGTGGCTTCATGTCACTCCTGTCAGGGGATAGTCCTGAACCCCCGCCGTACCCTGGGCTGGGACATGTCTCGTGGCCGTAGTTTTGCAGCGAGTCCGAGGATTGATGCCGTCTGATGACACTCTTTGTAGATTCCGAAGAATAGTGCGATGCGGTCGACCCTTCAGTACTATCTTGGAAAACGTCGTCCTCGTACTGAACGTGGCGGATTGTCTGAGCTGATCCTTCATACGTGGGATGGTAGGCTTGCCGTCGTATCGTCGAAGTGCTTCGCAGTGAATTTGCGTCGACGGAATCCGAGGGCCTCTGGCCTTCGCCCGAGAACTGATTTGGATAGCCGTTTGTTTCTTTGAGTCTCTTCATGAGCGCCGAGTACACGCGGTCACTGTTGACTATGGGGCCGGCATTTATCGCGTTATTATGATACATCGAGGTCTGGTTGTGAGATGAGAGCGCGGCTTCCATGCCATCTTGTTGAAAGCCAGACGGGTATTGCCGACTCCAGTTGGCAGACCGTGGCTGATTTGCGATTGTGTCTGCTGTGGAGTTGGTCCAGCTAGTGACTCGTGATTTATCGTCTTCGAGCGCATCATCTTCAGCTTCAATGGTTCCCAAGCTGGCCTGCCGCGACCTGGGCTGTTGGCTAGGTGGCACGGCATGGAAAGAAGGCATGTGGGAGACTACACGATACAGCGATGCTTCTTGGGGTAGCTGACCTGGTGTCTGGGCACGGTAGCAGCTACCATCATCCGACTCAAGGTCCTGGGGATGCTCTCCAGTTTGGTCCGCAAGATCATCCCTATTCTTGGGACGACTAAAGAACCCCTTGAGTCTACTCTTGAGCGATTTGGAGATTTTGCGAGCTTTCTTCCGCAGTCCTGGTTGTTGCAAAGGGATAATAGGAGGAAAATTGGCGCCGTAAACATGTTCTGAAGAGAGAGCTGAAGTGTTGTTGCCGCTACCCCGGAGAGATTTGGGGAAACCAGTCGGGTTCGGGGCGTGCCTGTAACTCGACTGAAAGAAACTCGATGGCCGGCTTTGTAGACGACTCGAGCGCTCTGGCGGCTCATAAAGCCGATTTTGTATCCGCTGGACAGATTCATGACCACTACTGATGCTGGTTCGAGACATGGATCTGTCACAGTCACTGGAGAGGAAGCCCATGGATTTGGGTGTTCTCAGCGTTGGTACGCCAGAGCTTCGAAACGGTTCGTTTTCCTTCCTGACAAGCGATGAATAGCGCGGCGTCGGCACCCATCCGTTGAACATGTCGGAGTGGTCGCTGTTTTCCATCGAATAGTTTGGAGTCTTTGCTATTGAGGGAGTGTACATCGATCTCGACTTGCGTAGCCTCGCGTACGATAATGATGCAGCGTCCTCGCCTGGCTCAAACGAGGGGGGAGGAAGATGGTGAGAGTGAGAGCCCGCGGCACGTCGTGGCACATTTATGTTGCCCACCAAGGCCATGCTTGCTCGGGTGGCCAGTTTTCTCTGCGGCTGGGCGTTGGGGCCGACGAACCTCACGCTTTGTTGACGTTGCAAGCGTGGGGTCTTCCCGCCGCCGTTGCTTTGTGGCTGGGCTCTATTGTACGATAGAGTTGCGGCGAGATACGCGTCTCGCTCGGCGACATAAGGTTCGATGCTCGTGAGTTCGTGGACTGGATTTCGCACGATGGAGGCGGACGACCTGCTCCTGCTCAGGGGGCGGTTCTGGCTTCTGCAGCTGTTCCGGCGAAGCATTATCGCTGCTGGGGATTTCGAGGCTGCGCAAAGATGTTGCCTTTATCTTTCCAACGATCGAACACTATGTGCAGTTTGATGACGATGATGGGAGTTTGTGATAATGAGATGGGCTGAGTATGCGAGAAGTATAAGATTAAGATGGTTTGGATGTGACTTTCCGATGAGTCAAAAGAAGCTCGATGGACGGGTGAAGTTTTTTTTTTCTTTTGGTGGTCTGTTGTTTATTGCGAGGAAGGAGGTGACGATGACGTCTCCTGGATCGGAAGAATCCCATTGTATCAGATGATACGGCAAGAGCCTGTTTTGCACTTCTTTGCTCTTGCCTGTGGTGTGAGTGTCTGAGTTTTGGCAGCTGGCAGCCGTTCAAGTTTCGAACTGCCAGATCTGGTGGTGCCTATTTGAGTACCTATAGAGGCAGTAATTTGCTTTGCTCAAGGTAACTGAGGGTGAATAAACTGATTGATACTTTGAGATTGTCATTCCAAAGATAGGTACCTCTCAATAGAACGCAACAGTTTCTTCAACTCTTGTGTTGTTATTGTTGACTTTCGAGAGTTTAAGTGACGCCCCAACGTAGCAAAGTTTAGTTGAACACTAAGGTACCTTTCGATGCTAAACAAAGATAGGGGCAGAGTATGCAGAATACAGTTCACTCAGTACCTACCTATGTTGAATAAGGGAATTGTTATCTAGCACCCCAACCTTTGTTATCTAACACCCTAAGTGTGGCTTAACGCCCGAAGTCGGGCCCCACCTGTAAAATTAGCCTAAAAAAAATATAATACTTATCCTAATTAGATTATAAATCTTAGCCCTAGTTAAAGTATAGTAAATTAAAGTTATTTATAATTTTTAATAGCTTTACTAGCGCTATAGGCTATTATAAAATAATCCTATAGTAGTCTTAAGGAATATAAGGCTGCTATTTAATCTATAGTTAAATTTAATATTATTAAACTTATTAATTACTTAAAGAAGTTACCTAAAGACTTTTATTAAGTTATTTAGTATTATTATAAAGGATTATAATATATTAAGGTTAACTATAGTATATATAAATTAAAAAAGAGGAAGTTAAGCTTTTAGTTAATAAATTATAAGTTTAAGGTTATAGTAAAAAAGTAGAAGAATAAAAGTTAAATTTTTAAATAACTAAAAACTAAGGATTTTTATTATTATAATTATAATATCCTTAAGTAAGTTACTTATATAATATTTTATAATAAAGTTATTTAAACTTATAGTAATAATATTTTTAAAATATTAAAGATTAGTATTTTAATTATAAATATTTTTATAAAGTTTTACTAAAGTAATAATTAATTTATTTATAATATTATAAGTTAAAATATTATAAACTTTATTAATAAATATTAATATAAGGAGCTTAATAGCTATATATTACTTAAGTAGTTATATAACTAATTTTAGTAAGGATTTAACTTTTTTTATTATAATAATTATAATAAAAATAGAAAACTTATATATTTTTTTATTTTTTTTATAATAATTATTAATTTTTTTAGAATTTTCTAAAAGTATTATTTTTTAATAATATATATAAAATAAATAAGTTTAATATACTTTTTTTTAATATTTATAATTTAATATTACTTAAGAAGACTTTTTAAGTTACTATAGTTTTCTTAAGTATTAAAAAAAAAGTAGATTATATATAAGTAATTATTTAGCTTATTAATTTTCTTAATAATTTTAAAATTATATTATTATAATATATTATAACTAATTAAAAGTTAGCGCTAATTAATACCTTAAATAATTATAAAGACTTTAAAAAAATTCTTTATATTTTTTATTATTAATATATTTATATAAATATTATTATTAATATAAAAAAATACTTTCCTAAGCTAACTAAGGGCTTTAATAAAGTTTTTTAAAAAGACCTTATATTTAAGAAGTTTATTAAAAACTAATATTAGTTAATAATTAATTAGTTTAAGAATAGCTTTAAAAAGAATTTTACTAAGTTTAAGTTCTTAGGCTATTAGTTTACTAAGGCTATAGCCTATTATATTAATACTTAAATTAACTTATAAAAGAAAAATATTATAAAATATTTTATTAATTATTATTTTTACTTTAGTTATATTATAACTTTAATTATAAAGTTATTATATATAAATATTAAGTATTTTTTTTAATAATAATAAATTAATAACCTAAAGGTAGTTTTTAAAAAGTTATAATTTTTTTAAAAGTATTAGGTAATTAAAGTATATTTTATAATATAGTAGTAGTATAATAAAGTTATTATATTTTTATATTTCCTTTTATAAAAGCTTTACTTTTTTATTTCTCCTTATATAATTAATTTTATATAAGCTTAATTTTACTTTTTTTTTTATACTAAGGCCTTAGTTTTAGCTTACCTTTATATAATTTAAATTATATATAGAATTTTATATAAATATATTCTTAAAACTTATTTTTAAAACTTATAATTATTTTAAAAAAGCTAGGTTAATTTTTATTAATAATAAGAGAAAATAATTATTAATTAAAGGGAAAGAAACTTATAGGCGCTGCTTAAGCTTATTATTATTTATTAATATAGCTAGCTTTATAATACTATTATTATTTAGTAATTATAGCTTTATTAATAAGGAAAAAGTATAACTTTTTTATATTATAACCTCTTATAATTTAAAATAATTAAAGCTTAAGAGTAGTCTTTTATAATAGCCTTACTGCTTTTTATAATACTAGTAATAGTAAGTAACTTTTTTAACTAGTTAATTAATATAAGCTATAGTCTCTAGCGCGTTTAGTAGCTTAGTAATACTTTTATTTTAGGCCAGCCGCAGCCTTAAGCTTATTAATAAGCTAGTTAAATAAATCCCTTAACTTTAAGCTTTTTACTAACTTTAAGCCCTTTGCCTAAGGCTGTAATTAAGTTTATAATTAAGTTTATATTTACTATTAATAAGATTAAATTTAATAATTATTTTAATAAGCTTTTAAAATAGGCCTTATATTAGGCTGCTGCTATACTTTAGGGAAAAATATATTATAATTTTATATAGTATAGGGAAAAAGACTTATAAATAGTTTTTAATTAACTATAATAATATATTACTAACTTAATAATAATTTTGTAAAATTATAGTTTAATTATATATCTTTAATTTTACTATATAGTATACTAATTAAGGTAATATTGGAAGGAACGCTATATTAAATATGGCGTTAGGGTGTTAGATAACGAAGGTTGGGGTGCTAGATAATAATTCCCTTGAATAAAGGCACCTTGTTACAAACAGCAGTGAATGCTGGGACACGGAACATCACACGGGCAATCAGTTATTGTGCTCTAACAAGCAAATTTATCAATTATATAATACTCCTGTACAAGCATTCCGTCTGTAGAAACGTAGGACCGTGCAGTAGAATACAGAGTCAATGGCAAAATTCCATACTAAATCCGTGGCTTCACGCCCATGGTGCATGCCAAATACCCAAAACAAAAACAAGTCTCTCCTGGTACCGATCCATGAACCCTCGTACTTGATAATCTCATCGGCACATTATGGCCATTACTACAATAAAAGGAAAAATGATATGTGCTTCGAGATTCTTACTCGGAAAGCTCGGAGATGAACTCCTCAATCTCCTCCTCGACGAGGTCGTGGATCTTCTTGGCAAACTTCTCGGCCTTGGAGCCAAAGGTCTTGGCACCCTTGACGATCTTGCCAGAGACAACCTCGAAGTCACCCTCGATGGCCTCCTCGAGCTCCTCAATGGTGGCGGGGAGCTTGGCCTGCTTGGCCTTGGGCTTGGCGGTGTAGCTGCCGGCCTCGATGATCTGGCTGTAGTTGCTGCAGCCAGCACCGTTCCAGGCGAGCTTGTTGGGGGTGTCGGCGGGGATATCAGACAGGGTGCCGATGGTGGCGACGGAGATGATGTCCTTCTTGAGCTTGTTGGGGGTGATGGGGGCAACGGCAAACTCAGAGTCGGTGGCAGGCTGGAGAGACAGGTAGTAGGCCAGGAGACCGGCAATGTGAGGGGAGGCCATGGAGGTACCAGAGATGGTGTTGACGGCGTACTTGGAGCCGATCCAGGTGGACTGGATGCTCAGGCCGGGGGCGAAGATGTCAGTGCACTTGCCGTAGTTGGAGAAGTAGGCACGGCTGTCATCGAGGGCAGAAGCGCCGACGGTAACAGGCTCACTGGCAGCGGCGGGGGAGTAGTTGCAAGCATCGGCATTGTCGTTACCGGCAGCGACGGCGAAGTGGATGCCGGCCTTGACGGCAGCGTTGACGGCAGCGTCAAGCGCAGAGGTCTTGCCACCACCAAGAGACATGTTGGCGACGGAGCCCTTGAAGCCCTTTCGCTTGCCGTCCTTGGCCTGCTTCACGGCCTCTTGGTGAGAGATGGCGGCGAACTCGACGCCCTTGACGACATCGGACATGGTGCCGGATCCGTTGGATCGGAGCACCTTGACGGCGTAGACGTGGGCCTTCTTGGCCACACCGTACTTCTTACCAGCAACGGTACCAGAGCAGTGAGTGCCGTGGCCATTGCCGTCCTCGTCCTCGTCGCCGGCAGGGATGGTCTTTCCCCACTTGGCACGACCCTCGAAGTCGACGTGCTCAACGTTGGTACCAGTGTCAATGATGTAGGCATCGACACCCTCACCACCCTCGGCGGAGTAGAGGTACTTGTTGAAGGAGCCAAAGTTGAGGGTATCGCGGTGGGAGATACGAGCAAGACCCCAAGGAGCCTGCTTCTCGGTCTCGGGACTGCAAGAGTCCTCAACAATAATGTTGTCCTCGGAGCCGAGGGGAAGCATAGTGTGGACAATGCTGTCGCGCTCGATGTACTCGACCTGCAAAGTATCGTATTAGCGTTTGCTCACGAATCATGGCTGGAGCTAAAAAGGACACTGTGAAACTTACATCCGGGTGATTCCGGACCTGCTCGATGGTGGACTCGTGGAAGTGGCCAGCGTAGCCCTTAAAGCCGTCCATCTTGAAGGTGTGCTTCAGGCCGTCAAAGATGTCGTCTGAGCCGAAGATAGTGCTTCGCTTGCGGAGCTCGAGGCGCTCCTGCTCGCCGGAGCTGTGGACGTTCTGGAGCCAGTCGTGGTGCTTCTCGGCCTGAGCCTCACCAACGTGGTCCTTGAACTTGATGATGTAGGCATCTGGGATGGCATTGGCCTCCACGGTGCTGAGAACAGGGGCAGAGTTCTCGTGGATGGTGCCAATCTGGAAAGAGCTGGCCTGGGCAACAGCGGCCACAGAGAGAGCGACAGCAGTCCGCATCGTGACGTTGGAGATGGGGATTGAGATGAAAAACGGAAGAGTGTCAACCTGCGACAAACTAGACCTGAAAGACCGGAAAAAGGCAGCGGACAGACAAACTCCTGCTTCCTCCTGCACGGGACGCGACGATGAAAGATGGGGGAGATGAAAGATGAAGATGGAAGGGGGAGAGATGATGGAAGAAGAAGAAGAAGAGGATGGGCGAGAAGACGAGCGATGGCGCGGTAGATAAGGGCGGCGGCACGAGGCTCCAGTGCTGCCTCAGCGGGCGTGAACAGTGAGCCGCGGTGACGCATCGCTGTGGCCGGGGTCTTGGGGGTCCGCCCAACTAGGTTTAGCCCATCGTTCCCGGGGCGATGCGATAACGCAACGCTGAACCGCGCAGGTACTCAGCCTTGAACGGGCCGGTACAGTTGCGCTGTGGTTTGGCCGCGGAGGTACCTGGCGCCCTTGGTCGAGGGAGAAGAGGTACGCGGGCTTACAGTGTGGCTTGACCCCGGTCGAAAAGTATCAGCTACAGCCTCCAGAACAGGCACAGCGCCAAAAGTCACTACCAATTCCAAGGTTTGGCAGGCTTGCCATAAGATTGAGCGCTCATTTCATTTCGGAAGAGTCATTGTTCCGTCACGACTGTGTACGAGTACATTACATACTCGTACCAGGTAATGTATTCAACACCCGGGGTGCCAGACAATGGCCTCTGCTGGCTGCTGCTTCCTGACCGTTCCGAAGGTACGCGATGCGATGCGATGCGATGCGATGCCAATCTACGAAAACGAACAGCGCATCACCGCCTGTCTTGTCTCTCCGTCTTTGTGCCCCAGACCGAGCGAGTCCCTCGATGCCCTGTGGTTCCAGTTCCTTGCAGAGCAGCGGATGGAGGCCGCATCACGTAAGGCAAGGAGCTTGTGCCAGGTACATGGGCGCCGCCGGTCCCCTGAGACGGAAATCCCGGGCTGGCACTGTACGGGCGAGTGTCGTGTGCTGGTACCTGCGTGCTCGCAAGGAATACAGTCTGGTTGCTTCTGGCAAAGGACGCAAACGATACGCAAACGACCGGCGGACGGTCCAGGGATCGATTGGCATTCATTCAGGGGGCGCCCCTCGGCAGCTGATGCCCATCCATGACCATCCATGACTCTCCGTATCTACTGTACATACCGTTTCTCCGTAGCATCGCCAACGCAAGCAGCTCACAGCCTCCCCCAGCCTGCCAATCTGCCTCCTTGCTCTGCTCTCTCCCCCAGCTCAACAAGACGATAAGCCCTGCATTTCCCAGGCCACAGCGGTGCGCATCAGGGCCCATTCCCCGTCCTAAAATGCGGGGATAAATGTGGCCCCGATTGGTCGCCACTTCACCCGTTGATCCGCTGTGTCAAACTGGCCCGGCTCGTGCCTCTTGATCACGAGTCTCCCAGCCAATATTCCTCATGCCCGTTCGGGGAGGGCTCGTGACGGCGGCCAGGGAGGTATTTGCCAACGCTGGTCCAGTGACGCCGTGCTGATCAACGTTATTTACTTATAGCCGCGGCTGCATCTGGCTAGAGCCCGCTGTGCATGAGATGCGCTGTATTACAGTAGGTACTCAGTACAATACGGAGTAGGGAGGGAGGGACTGCTGGCTGATAGGTAGATTCGCCTCCCTTTCAAGATCAGATCCATCCATCCCATCCAGAACAGTTACACAGTGCTTCGTACGTGGGCGTCGTAAGCTAAAACGGGACGGTGCCATGTAGTGTAACGCCGTGTTCCCAATGTCTATTGTGACAGAAGCCACTTCTGTCCTTGTAGTGTATAATGCCGTACCGGAATCTCAGCAATGTTGGCTGCGTTGAACGTGAACAATGAATGACGTTGGATGCAGAGAGTTGGGTACCTAGGTAGGTAGGTAGTACACCAAGGCCGGCCAGGCACTTGGTAGCGGAACAAGGCCGTTTTCAGAATTAGGCAGGCGGTGCATTGACGTGCGCATGACTTGCGTGCTTATCGGCCTAGATGACCTCAAAATTACCCTATCGTCAGGTACCAGGTACAAGCAGGTATCACGGCAGCTTGGGCTTATTGCCGGGTACTTAAACCATCTTATTCGAGGCACGGTACGAGTACGACGGCTCGTTGACGGGGACAGGCATTTGATGAGCAAGTAATGGATGTGACACAGGGAGTGTCGAGAAGCAGACCTTGGCCGTTTCAGCGCGGCTACAAGTGCTGGGCCAGTGCTAACAAGCGGCTGCGCGAGTGCTTCCCGCGTCCCGTGCGAGTACTTACACACGAGTAGTACGACTCGATTGCCGTACTAACCTGGAATAATAATATGTAATCTCGTTGAAGCTGTTTGTCTTTGTGCTCGTACTCGGAGCTTCATCCAGCCCTTCATCAGCATAAAATGCCCCCCGAGTCCAGAGCCCCTTTCCATCTCAACGCTTCTCCTAACTTTGGCCCGTCGTATCCATGGCCGCGATCGGCCTGTCACTCTCCCCAGCATTGCTCCTAGAACAGGAATATTGTGCACGTGCGACTTGGGTCTGAGCTGAGCACTGCGTTCGCAACAATGGCTCCTTTTCCTTGCGGGCGTTTTATACATGCACAGGATGGAAGTTGCCTACCTAAGCTGCATAGAGGGAGTCATCATGGCAGCCTCTGCTGTTATCTGTACAGTAGGGAGCGTCCGGATAACCAGCTTAATGCCCAACGTCAGATTGGATCTGTTATCGTCGTTGACCATTTTGCCTCTCCCAGCAAACAATCCATAACTACAGCGTTGCCGTTGCCTGTACGATACCGGGTACTGTACGGAGTACTATATTGCATCTTACGAGTATACTAAGGTACGAGTATGCATGTAGGATTGACTCCTAAACTCGATGCCATCGAATCATGTCCGGGCCCCTTATCCACCAGCCACGGCGCGATAAGCACCACAACTGAAGCCTGCAGTCTAGTGGCTCGCGGCGGGGCTACTGCTGTGTCCACTAGCCGCAATGCCGAATCTCAGCCACCTTCAAGGCTGACGGCGGATTGGCTGGCAGGCTGCAACATCCAGAGCTGGGCAACAAGTGTCGAGATATCGCAGCAAAGCCGCCCAACCACGCCGGATATTGCTCTCACGCATTGGGAATATCGGTTCGACCGTTGCCTTGCCCTTTCATCGTTTGCATCTTCGTAGGGCTTCTCTCGCAGTGCCGCAGCGTTTCCATCGGCCCGCTGACCGCCGCCCCAAGAGCTTCATGCGCCCCGCGCCAGAGCTCCCAGCTGCTTGTCCATCTTGCCCTTCAATGCTGTTGCGGATAGTTGGCGGCCTGGACCCTTGACGGGCCCTGGAGGGCAACCTAAGGTATTGGAATGAGAAATCGGCCGACACGGGATCATGGCGACTCTTCCCACGCGATATCGATCGTCGACCTCGGCGTCAGCTACGGCGAACCCGAACCCGAAATACATACAAGTCTTGCAGACGCTGCTCGATGACCTTGGCCACCAACAGGCCTCTCGAAACGACGATGGCTACCCCGAAATCCCCAAGCTTGTCAAGAGCCTGCGAAACGTGGCCCAGTTGATAGCTTCCACCCCTACAGCTTCGAACCAAGATGCCTTTCGACACGCCGGCGGCTTTGAATGCGTCCTCGACGTCCTCCGCAGCTTTGCGGGCTACCATGACCCGCGGAAGCGGAACCAGGCTGAGATGATGTCATTATTCAAGCTGCTCGGTGCGTTCCTAGGCATCCTGTCAGTCGCTTTCCGAGACCACTCTGGGAACAAGAGGTTCTTCCGGTATCGAGTCGCAGGGGGCGGATGGGAGGCTCTCGAACAGATCATTGCAAGCATCGGTCTGGGAGGGGCGGAACCCGACGCTTGGGTTAGCTGTCATGTCTTTGGCAAGCTGCTAGCTTTCTCGCTGGACGATGAAGCTTTGGACCTGCTCTGCCAGTCTACCGCAAAGGCCCTGCGCGCAGATGTCGAATCCGAGACCGGCCCTGGCGATACCCCTGAAAACGACGCAGAGGATGCAGCCGACGAGCAATGGGATCTCGTGCTTGCGCGCTCCGTTGGGAACATTGGCCCGAGCGTGCGCGAGGTGGTTACGCCAAAGACGATAATACGTCATCCGGAGCTGCTCAGAGCTGTCGTGAGCTTCTGGCGTGCTATTCCAAGGTCGGAGAACTCGCCGCCAAGCCCGTCTTCCCTCATTGTTCTAGAGACAATCCTCAGTGCAGCATCCGTCTCGATATACAACCTTGCTGCCATACATTCGACCGGTGTTCTCTCTCAGTTCCTCGAGGCTGCCTTCTCCCCCGAATCTCACTTGGCGCGGGCTGAACATGAGACAGTCCTGGACTTGTGTCGATTGCTTATGCACCTTGGTGTGAACCAACCTGCCGATGTCCAGTTTCTGCTGTCGGCACCGGGCCCCGAGGCGGCCAACTTCTTCCTAGAGATGACGTCTAAATACACTGGCCCTCCCTTTTTCCAGTTTGACCTCTCGCTTCATGGCCATTCATCGCTCGAACTCCCGACCCTGGGCCGCCCATTCCCCCCTCAATCGACGGCTGGATACACGTTTGCGGCGTGGATACGTGTCGACTCGTTCGACCCAACTGCGCATACCACCGTCTTTGGCGTCTTCGATTCCTCCCAAACCTGCTTCGTGCTCATGTATCTGGAACGAGATACCCACAACTTTATCCTTCAGACTTCAGTCTTCTCCAATAAGCCTAGCGTGCGATTCAAGTCAGTAACGTTTCGTGAAAAGAAGTGGTATCACGTTGCCGTTGTCCATCGCCGACCAAAGACAATGTCGGCCAGCAAAGCGTCCCTCTACGTCAATGGCGAGTTTGCTGAACAGATTCGCTGCAATTACCCACACGTGCCCCCGCTTGCAAACGGCAGTACGGAAACATTTGCCTCGTTCAACTCCAATCAGAACAAGTACAACCCCGTCCAGGCATTCCTTGGGACCCCTCGCGATCTTTCGAATCAGAGCGGCTCAGGCCTTGTCTTTTCGAGATGGTCGTTGGCATCTGCCTATTTATTTGAAGATGTTCTCAGTGATGATTACATTGCGGTTCACCATGCGCTTGGCCCACGGTACCAAGGCAACTTCCAGGACACCCTAGGTGGCTTCCAGACGTACGAGGCGTCGGCCATGCTGGGCTTGCGGAATGAGATTGTGCATTCTGGTAAAGACGAGAACTCTGATATCCTACGAGCGGTGCGTGACAAGGCAAGCTCACTATTGCCGGAAGCAAAAATCCTGCTTGGCATTCTCCCATCTGCCACGTTTCCTGAGAATGTGCAATACATTGATACAGGTGTTCTCCGTGCTCTTCCTCGCGCATCTACGCGCAATCTTTTCCGCATGTCGAGCAAAGAAGCATCTCCGTTGGCCATAAATTGTGCTGTTCCAAGTCTCACGGATGCATTGTTTAGGCCACAAGGCATTGCCTCCTTCCGAGGGACCCCGATTGTGGCTGTTCCCTCTTACTTTGACGAGAACCTTTGGCGCCTGGCCGGCTTTACCCCATTGGCCCTGAAGCTCCTGGAAAAGGCGACAACTGTCGAAGAGACTATCCATGCTATCGAGATCATGTTCCATTGCATCCGCAGGAATTGGAGAAATAGTGAAGCAATGGAGAGGGATAATGGATACAGCATCTTGGGCATGCTCCTGCGGTTCAAGATCGGATATGGTTCTGGCGCTGCCAGCGAAAATACGCAAATCTCCCGGCTTTCAGCTTCCCAAGAGGACCGAGAAAGCCTTGCATTCCGGATCCTCAGCCTGGTGCTGGGCTTCGTCGGATATAATCATGCTGAACCCATTGAATCTTTCATCATCAACCCCTTAGCTTACCGCATCCTCCTGATCGATCTGGATATCTGGCGCAAATCAGGGCCGCGCGTCCAGGAGCTCTATTATAAACAATTCGTGACCTTTGCCGTTAACAGTAAACATCATGACTTCAACAGTAGGAGGTTGATACGTATGAGTGAGTAGCTTGGCCGCTTCCTCTTCTCAGAACCAACAGTGCATTCTAACCATTGCTTGCTCCAGGAATTGTAAAGCGGCTGCTAGATGCCATGAAAGGCGAGGCCATCTCTGAAGAAGTCGTGCCGCAGTTTATGGGAGCATTTGAAGCGCTTGTTAGATCGAACCTGAGCCAAGAAGTCATGAGATCCTTGTCACTTTTTATTACGTACGCCTTTCATTTACCCGCTTCGACAGGGTCACGAACTCCGAGGCCGTTTTTGAACACTTCGCGGTCTAGCACGCCCGGTCCTTTCAAACGGGGGGCTGCGGATGGAGGCGACGGCAATGGTCTATCTCATGGTACAAGAACCGTATCGAAAAAGCAACTTGGAACCAAGGTTCTCAGCCTCTACTCTAGAATTCTCTGCGAGAAAGGCAACTTTAACAACATCAAGAAGTTTGCAAAGACAGTTACGAATAAGGTGAGACAGAAGCTATTCTCCATCCAAACAGCATGCAGCGGCTCAGGGTTGTTTTACTGACATTTTGATTTCAACTAGTGGCTCTTGTATTTACTTGCCGATGATGACTCTGAAACTGTCGTGCATGGGTGCAAAATCCTCGCTCGCCTCCTTGTTGTCCATGGATCTGCCTATACGTCAAAGTTTGCTGGTAAATCTGGCGGGTTTACGATCATGGCAAGCCGACTGAAGAGATTCTGGGATGTCCCCCCTCTATGGACGATTTGCTTCTGCATCTTGTTTGGGCAGGACGTGGCCGATGTCAACTTTGATAGCAGGGCTGACTTCCACACCCTGGCTGAAAAGTTTGACAAGCGCAAGGTTGTCTACCCCGAGTCGCTGGTTATCATCACATCGATGCTGCAGCATGGCTTAAAGGACGTGATGAAGTACCAAGAAGACCCGGATTCTCCAGCAACTAGTCTCTCACCATCCCACGCATTATCTCGACCCAGCTCTGCCTATGACTCTAGGCCTAGGGCGAGCTCAGATCTTGTCAGAGCTGTGGAACCTAGGGGTAAGTGCATTCCTTCGTGTCCTTCAGAACGACTATTTTCTGACCAAATTTGCAGTAATACTCTCCCGAGAAAGCGTGGGGGCACATGCCGGCTTCCTTAAAAGTGCTATTCAAGTTTTGCGAAATCTCCACGAACGGTCAGCCGAATTCCGAGACTTTGCTCTGTCGTCCGAGTGGATTCGTTTACTTTTGGCGGCTTTGTATCCGGTCATTGTCAGTGCTGATGCTGTCACTCCTGACGTGGAGTTGAACTCTCGAGACTCTGCTCTCACTTTTGAGGGCAGCGATGTCATTATCCGACCCATGGGCGGTAGCTCTATGCCGGCACCCATTGTCAGGACGACCAACATCGATCTCGTACCATCGCCACAGTCGACGCCGCCAAAGGGAACACCTCTCAAAAGAGCGTCATCATTCGTTCTCCTGACTGCCCAGAAAACCGCGTCAGAGGCAAAGCTCTCCATACCCCTGACAAAACCTCCGCCTCAACAGCAAAAGATTATCGGCGGCAGCGCCGGCGATGCCATTGTGGATGGGATCGCGGACTTGGTAATGCACGTCTTCATGGACCAAATCTTCGTTCGCAAGGAGTTTTCGGGATTCGGTCTCTTCACCAAAATGCCTCCTGGGTTTCAGGAGCATCAGGCGTACTTTGAATCATACATCTTGAAGAGAGCGATTGCCGATGTAACGCATGTAATCCAGACGAGACGCGAGGGAATATGCGAGCCAAGGATTTTGACAAATCTTGGCCGGCTTTGTACCCATCTTTGTGAAGCAATCTTTGAAGGCTGGTTCCTAAACGGAGCAGAAGCCATGATCGACTTCAACGGTATGCTCTTGGAATTTCTGCAGAGGCCCGAGATTGCGGGATTGAAGAGCGTTCGTCTGTGCAGCCCAGCCATATCGACAATTCGCAGCTGTCTCTTGAGGACTATCTTGCTCAAGCTTTCAGATTTGGACAGTCGGGAAACCTCAGAGGCCGAGGCCAAGGAGTTTATGAACAAGCTAGCCTACTGGCAGATGTCTATCTTGGGTTGTTTAGGGGCCGATGACGAGTATCTGAAGCTGTTTTGGTATCAGCTTTATACCAAACTCATAGACGATAAAGCCTCGATTCGCGGCGCCGCTGCCAACTTTCTTCGCATCATTCTCGTGCAAAAGCCCGAGGAATCCATTGCATTGATTCGATCGTCTTCTGCACCCGAACAGCGGCAGATTGTTCGCGATTTTGAAAAGTTGACAGAGATTGACGACGAGTCATTTGTGCTTTGGGTGGACAAGCATAGACCAGCGTTGGACATGCTCTTTTTTGGCGGCATGTCAAAGACGTGGGAAGATTTTGTCAGCGGCGAGAACCATCGCACTTTTGAGTCTGCGAAATCACGCCTGGCAAAACGCAAAGACAAGCTAAAGACTTGGAACATAGAAGTGGTCGGAGCGGATAGAATTCTTGTCAACCATGAAATCGGTAACAGCGCGTGGATGAAGAGCATCTACAACGCCGAGTATTTCAAGTATCAGCGTTTAATGCAAGACCAGCAAGATGATTTGGCTTTTCTCACGGCGGGCTATAGAAAGATGGAGCGAGATCTGCAGCGGCCCGGGGCCGTGTTCAGCATATCCACGGCGCCAAAGTGGAAGCTGGATCGAACAGAGGGTCGAAACCGCATGCGTCTGCGTCTTCTCCCAGACTACCCAGTTGGCGAGGACAGATATCAGCCCAAGGCCAAGGGCAGTCTGCCATCGAACAGTGCTTCTTCTGCTACAACTCCTACTAACGCTTCTGGAGCTAATTTGAGCGCCGCCCCTGTTTCACGAGACCCGGCTGCCCCAGGGAGCCGGCCCCCTACGCGATCCAGCGCCGTTCTAGATGGCGTCAATGATAACGACTCAGCGTCTCTTACCATGGAGCCTGAATCGGTCTCCGATAATCCCGAGCCTGGGCTCACGGCAGAGGATGATTTTGAGCTTGTCGATGACCCCAACGAGCCAACCGAAGGCGATGAGAACTTTGAAGATAAAAACCGCAAGGTCATGCGGCGTTTGGAGCACGGCGATCAAGTGCAGGCCGCGTACAACATATCTCGCGTCACGGGCCTCGAGGCCAGTGAAGGCCTTTTGATAGTAGGAAAGGACGCACTGTACATCATGGACAATGTGTTCCAGTGCGCCAACGGCGACATCGTAAACGTGTGGCAGGCACCGCCAGAAGAGCGTGATCCGTTTACCCAAATCGTGACCGGTGCCAAGACGCTCGAAAAGCGGCAGAGTGCTGGCGGCCGAGAGCAAGAGTCAAGACATTGGAAGTGGCAGGATGTGATTAGCGTCTCGAAACGCCGGTTCCTCTTCCGGGACGTTGCCATTGAAATCTTCTTCACTGACGGCCGAAGCTATCTCCTTACCACCATTAGCACTGGGCTGAGAGACGGCTTATTCGCGAAAATGTCGAGCAAAGCACCGCATACCAGCGCGGCACATACGCTGCCGAATCCAGAAGATGCGTGGAGATTTGACATGCTCAAGGGGTTTGAGGACTCTCCGCAAGGCCTGGGATCCCGGCTCGGCACGCTGTTTAACGCATCGCCGTGGACTTCCATCATGAAGCGGTGGCAGAGGGGAGAGATTTCCAACTTTCACTATCTCATGGTGGTAAACACCATGGCTGGGCGGACCTTTAACGATTTGACCCAGTATCCAGTCTTTCCGTGGATCCTTGCCGATTACACCAGCGAGGATCTCGATCTGGAGGATCCGAAAACGTTTCGAGACCTGTCAAAGCCCATGGGTGCCCAGACCGTCAACCGCATTCAAGGCTTCATCGACACTTATAGTGCGCTTGAAGAGATTGGACAGACGCCATTCCACTATGGCACCCATTACTCGTCAGCCATGATTGTCTCGTCGTATCTCATCAGACTGCCGCCCTTTGTACAGTCTTATCTACTTGTTCAGGGAGACAGCTTTGATCACGCAGACCGGCTGTTCCAATCGATTGGCGACGCTTGGACTTCGGCGTCATGTAACAACAAGACGGATGTCCGAGAACTGATTCCCGAATTCTTTTGCCTCCCCGAATTCCTGACAAACATCAACGGATACGACTTTGGGCGTCGGCAGAGCAACGGCGTTCAGGTTAACAACGTTGAGCTGCCTCCGTGGGCCAAGGGCGACCCCAAAATCTTTATTGCCAAGCATCGCGAGGCGCTCGAGAGTCCGTACGTGAGCGAGAGCCTGCATAAATGGATTGATTTGGTATTTGGATTCAAGCAACGAGGCGAGGCGGCGGTGGAGAATCTCAATGTCTTCCACAACCTCTCCTACGCTGGCTCGGTCGACCTCGATCAAATAAAGGACGTCAACGAGAGGGCGATTTCGGCTGGCGTCATTCACAATTTCGGCCAGACGCCGCACCAAGTGTTCCAAAAGCCTCACCCGCCGCGAGAGCAGCTCAAGTCGTCTGTCAAAAGGCTGGACACGGCCATATTCTCCTTGGTGTGCTTGCCGAATCCGCTGCTGGAGAGCCACGAGAGGGTTTCCACACTCATCTATGCGCCAAAGTTGGACCGCCTGCTGTGCGCCTCGCCATTTCGCCTCAACCTCCCGCCATACGACAAGTATCTGGAGTGGGGATATGCAGACAACAGCATCCGCTTCTTCTTTGCCGACAACCGCAGGGCGGCCGGTCTGTTTGAGAACCTTCACATTGGCCAGATCTCGTGCGCGGCCTTTGCCGACTCCAAGACGCTCATCACTGCGGGAGAAGACTGCGTCGTGTCCGTCCATGCTCTGCATACGGCACCGGGCAAAGCGGTGGAGCTGATTCCCAAATCGAGCCTCTTTGGTCACAAGACGCCGGTGACGGCCATTGCGGTGGGCAAAGCCTTTAGCACGTTTGTCACGGCCTCGTCGGATGGGCAGGCTTTCCTGTGGGATCTTAACCAACTGTCCTTTATTCGCAAGCTGCCTCTTGTGCGCCACGTGGAGTGCGCGCAAATCCACAACGTGTCGGGCGATATCATGCTATGCTCGGGACCTAACGTGCTCCTGTACACTCTCAACGGCGGCCTGATCCTGGAGCAAAACGTTTGCTCCGACTCGGAGGACTATGTTCACTCTTGTGCCTTTTACGAAGGCGCCGGCAACGAGTGGCTGGAAAACTACCTCATCTTTACGGGACACCGCGGAGGCATCGTCAACGTATGGCGCAAGAGCGTGGTGGGTGGGAAATGGACTTTGGAGCGGCTGCGACGGCTAGATCATATTGATTACACGAGCGACAAGGGAGAGAACACGGCGGCCGGCATCACTTGTATTAGCCCGATGCCAATGTGTGTCTACACTGGAGACGATGATGGGCGAGTAGTGAGTTTTAATCTTTTTGCATTTCAGAGGTGACTACGATTGTTCTTTTTTTTTTTACTAACGATGACATACAGTATGAGTGGAATTTCGCCGGCAGAGACAGGTAGAGCCTGAGCATGCCTCGCCGAACGTCTGTAAGAAACATTCGTCGCGCCGTGTCGCGGTCTGGATGAAATGAATATTTAGAGAGAGAGAGAGAGCGAAGAGATAAAGGGGGATGGTGTTGATTTTTCCTTTTGTGTGGGTAGCGATGCTTCAACGGCCAGTCGGGGGAAGAGAGAGAAGAATAATTAGATTTTTTTTAAAAGGGGCGCTCAAAAGGTGGACATTGCATGCTGTAGCGAGAGAAGGTGAAGAAGAAACTTTTGGATGGGGCATCAAAGTAGGAGGGAAGAAAGAGAGCGGATTTTTGTAATTTGCATCAATTGTTTGAATTTAGAGCCTGAAGATGTCTACCCCCTGTGCTCTTTTTGCCCTTTCTCCTCCTCGTTTGTGTGTTTTTATATGATTTGAGTAATGTCGTGGCTGTTGTGTGTTTATGGATGTTATATACAGGGACTTTTTGCGTCTGCAATTCCAGCCCGTTCCTTGTTCCTTTTTTATTTATTTATTGACGAGATGCAGATTTCCCCGATTGGCTTTCGTCTTGGATGGAGTAGCGTTTTTTATTTGTCGTCGTAGCCTGTCACTTGTTTCCGAGGACCAGCGGGAACTGTACAGCAGAGGTTAGTGAGAATACACACACACACTCCTCCGCAAGTGCCGATTCATTGACGGGCAAACGTACCGGGATAGGTGACGGGGACGGGCGCAGGGTCGACGTCGCCGAGCATGTGGCGGATGGGAGGGACGATGGGCATGAGGGCCGGGCCGGTGGCGCCGACGACGACGGACCAGAAGTAGGCGGGACGTTCGCGGGCTGCCCAGGCGCAGTACTTGAGGGGCTGCGACCAGAAGAGGGGAGAAGACATGGTTGAGGCTGGATTCGGCGATCAATTGAGCTGGAGTTGGTGAGGGATCTTTCGCTGTAGAGATGGATGAGGAGATGGGGGAGAGTAGAGCGGGATAGAGGGCGTAACGTACCGAGTTTAGCGGGGGTTGAGTGGCTGCTGAGGTTGGGGGTTGCGAGATATCAGATATCGTGGGATTTGAGTGACATGAGGTTTCGATTCAAAGGTCGTGATGCTTTGCTTGCTTCGGCTTAACCGCGGCAAAAGAAAAGCTAGCTTCAGCTTGTACCTTTGTACACTCCGTAACTGATTGCAGTGAAAGTGACGAACTGCCAAGCCAAATCTGTCTGTGCTGGGGCCCCACAGCGGGTAACGTAGCGAACGAGGCTACGTATCCCCAAGTGTCTGTTACTTGTGGTACTTGCAGCAGCTTGTGGGAAAGCTCTGGATTCGCACTTTAAACATTGTCCCTTTGTCAACCACATTTTGTTTTTATTCTGTTCAATCCGCCGCTTTTTCTTACCATGTGGTCGCTTCTGAGCGTGGCTGCGGCGCTGTTTGCGGCGGCTGCTTCGGCGGTTAGCACGGGCGGGAGCCGGTTGTTGGTGGTGCTGGACGATGTTGCTGAAAAGGATACGTATGGCCAGTTTCTGGGGGATCTCACAGGTGTGTTTTGTTGTTGTCGATTGGATTGGGCTTGGGGAGCTGGAGCTGGAGCTGGAGCTTGGATTGGAGTGAGAGATTGGGAATTGGAAACCGACTGACTGATTGCAAACAGCGCGAGGCTTTGATGTTTCGTACGAGACGCCGCGGAGTGAAGGTCTGACGCTGTTCCATCTTGGCGAGAGGAAATACGACCACCTGCTATTCCTGCCGTCCAAGGTCAAGGGCATGTTTGCTCTCTACATCTATATCTACTTATCAATGGCTTGCTGACTCCAATTGCTTTGCTTGCAGGCCTCGGTCCAAACTTGACCCCCAACCGTCTCGTCGACTTCGTCAACGCTCGGGGAAACATTCTGCTTGCGCTGTCCTCCACCGTTCCCACATCTACCTCGCTCGTCTCTCTCCTGTCCGAGCTCGACATTTCCCTGCCCATTGAGCGCACCGGCACCGTCGTCGACCACTTCAACTACGATGCCGTTTCCGCTGCCGAATCCCACGACGTCCTCGTCCTCGATGCGCCCTCCAACGTCCGCCCCGGCCTAAAGTCCTACTTTGAGGTGCCCGGCGGTGTCTTGGCCTTCCCCCACGCCGTTGGCCATGTCCTCGGCGCTGGACCTTTGCTCACGCCCGTTGTCCGCGCTCCCGCCACTGCTTACACCTATAACCCCAAGGAGCAGGCCGAGGTGCTTGACGCCGATGACCTGTTCGCCGCGGGCCAGCAGCTGGCGCTTGTGTCGGTGGTGCAGGCGCGCAACTCTGCTCGCGTGACTGTCCTCGGCTCTGCCGAGATGCTGCAGGACAAGTGGCTCGACGCAAAGGTCACCAAGGTGGGCGGTAAGAGCGTCAAGGCTGACAATAAGGAGTTTGCCCGACGGGTGGCTGGCTGGACGTTCCAGGAGATTGGCGTCCTGCGAGTCAACAGCATCGAGCACCAGCTTCGGGAGTCTGAGGAGCTCAACCCCGAAATCTACCGTATCAAGAACGATGTGGTGAGTTTGCACATCAAGTCCTGCTGAAGCATATCGTATCCCATCTTGGCTGACCATCATCATCATCTAGTCTTATGCCATCTCTGTGTCCGAGTACAGCTGGGACAAGTGGGTTCCCTTTACCCTTCCTGAAGACGACGTTCTCCAGCTCGAGTTTTCCATGCTTTCCCCCTTCCACCGCCTCAACCTGGCCCTCACTGGCACCACTGACGATGCTGCCGTCTACGGCGCCTCCTTCACTCTTCCCGACCAGCATGGAATCTTCAACTTCAAGGTCAACTACAAGCGCCCCTACCTCACCTATGTCGAGGAGAAGAACACCGTCAGCGTGCGCCACTTTGCGCACGACGAGTGGCCTCGCAGCTTCGTCATCTCGGGTGCCTGGCCGTGGATCTCCGGCATCGGCGCGACGGTCTCGGGCTTTGTTGGCTTCTGCGCGATATGGATGTATAGCAAGCCCGTGAGCAACAAGAAGAAGAACTGAAGAGTCGCAAGGGCATTAGCATGGCATTGGGTGGAAGGTATGAAGAGATTGGCGAAAGACACGCCCTTGTGAGAGAAGTAGGGTGCTGTAGATTTTTTTTTTTTTTTTTTCATGTACGATTTGCAATCTGGCGGGCCACGAAATACCCATGGATGGCACACTGAAATCCGCCGGGGGATGGGAAGATCTTTACGAGTAGAGTAGAGACTTCGAAAAAAAAAAAACAGACGAGATGGAATAGAATTTTTTCGCGCTTTGAAGAGGCTCACATGGCTGGTTGTGCGTGATCTTCTCGAGAGTGACTGACCTGTGTCAAGAATCATAATGTTCCCATTCATCCATCGTCCTATCCTTGCTGAATGCTCTAGATGCCTATCAAATTGAATGCCATTCATCCATCTACCCTTGATGAATGCGAGCTAGATGACCATCAAACTGCAACAAAGAAAAGTCATTCCACGAAACAAGACCAAGTGAACAAACATGGCACCCTCAGATTAGCTCTCTTAGGTTCTCATCGGCAACGCGCAGCCACGGGCTTTTCACACCCGCTGCTGTTGTCTGCAAATTTGGCTTTTTGGTCCTTGAATCATCACCAGGTGGTCTCAGTTTGTTCACATGAAACAAGAAGAAAATATACCAGTCGAGTCCCCCCTTCTTTCTCCCCAGATCACTTGCAGCCAATGCACCATCTGTTCTGTTCCGAACCTCAAAGGAAAATCCCATCTGTTGAACCACACTCAGCCTGCTCCGATTGAAAACTATACCCCACAAGGGGAACAAAGAATCACGAGTCTGTTGAGCCTTTTGGTCGAAGTGACCGAAGAGGCAGAAGACTTCTTCGAGGTGCCAAGGTGTCGGTCATTGCGGCTACTGCGAGGGAATATCAACAAACGGGGATTTTACACAAGGAACCGACAGGACAAAGAGGAAAAACACAAAGGAAAGGAAGCGAATAGGAAGAAGAAGGGGAGGGGGAAAACTGGTGCTCGCTCAGATTTCTGTTCTTGGGAGGCGGACAGGTGCCAACGGTTTGTTTCGGGGGTGAGCCAGAACCGAACCAGGAGGCGTTCCCTTGTCTTGTGTGAAGAGATATCATCACCGCGAGCAAAATCGGATGCCCAATCCGCGGGGGGAGGCAAACGGGTAGATAGAGGGCAGAGGCAAGGGAGTTTGAAAAGAGTTTTGAAGAAGAAGTTTTGGGGGGAGAAGCGGAGTGGAAGCTACGATATGGAAAGCGAGGCGAGGCGAGGCGAATTTGGGGGGAGAGTTTGAGTAGCACGGGCTGGTTTTGGGTAGAGCACGGGTTGAGATGGGCAGGGAGGAGGGGGGGAGAGTGGTTTGAGCAAAGTAGCATCGGGCATCAGCAGCAAGAAGAGAACAAAGAGGTGATGAGAAAGTTGGGAACAAAGTTGGGGAGAAGGCGGAAGAAAGGCTGCTGTGCGAGGGATGCGTGGTGATGAAGAAAGGAAGAAAGAAGAAAGAGGAAGAGTGGTGATGGGGAGAAGGCGTTTGCTTTATAGCAAGAAAAAATTTGGTTCAAACCGGGTGCCGGGCAGGCGATTGTTCCGGGGCTTTTTTTCTCGACGGAACGCGGTGGAAGTGTTCAGAAGTTTGAGCAGCTTCACTTTGTGTGTTGCCAGCTGGCGATGTGAAGGAAAAGTGAGGCGTGGTTGAGATGGCCGTTTGACAGCTGCCACGCAGGTTTTTGGTGTTGAAAGGAGGTGAGTTGGGCGCGGGGATTTGGGGACGCGCTTATGGGGGTTTTAGCGCTGTGGGAGGGTGGGATTGGGGGCATGCAGGTACCGCGAGTGGCAGGGATTTAGGGGGAGGAGCTAGCGCTGGAGGGAACTGTGGGTTTGGGGGGGTTTTAGGCGCGATGCCGCCTGTCAGTTGAACAGTGAGTGAGGCTGGAGTCTGGCTGGTTGGAAGTCATTGAAGCTGCATATTTGGGGGGTTTTATTTGGGGTGGTGATGGCTTCAAGGGATTGGAAAGAGTCAAGATGATGTGATTCAAGTATCTAATTCAGCTGATCATAGACCTCGTAGAGAATTGACGACAGAAGCGCATCAAGTCACTGTTGCGATATCGTTGTTGAACCCCAGTTAGTCAGCACCGCCTCCCGGCAAAAGTTCATGTGCTCTTCAGCCACCGGCCATGGCAAGGCAATAGCGTCACGATTCCATTCCCCTTCTGGACTAAAATGCCTGGCAGCCCTCGACTCGGTTTGTATCCGACAATGCTGGACTCTTTCAACCTCATCGATACTGATTCGCGGTTGTTTCGGGGCCTCGGTTCCATCCAGTCGTGATCCATTCATCTGTGCTGAACAAGTCCACTTGCGCGTTGAGACAGACAGACAGACAGACAGAGAGAGAGTCAGACAGAGAGCCAGAGATCGGAGAGAAGATGGCCCATTCAGATGAGCAATCTGTATCGTCGGCCACCATCCACCTCGTCGGCAGGAAAAAGAAGCGCGCCTCAAAGGCCTGCTCGTGCTGTCGGACTCGCAAGATCCGCTGCGATGTGCTCAAGACGGGCGTTCCCTGCACAAAGTGCCAGCTCGACGGCTTCGAGTGCGTCGTCCAGGCTCGCAAGAAGAGGCGCGGCAAGAATGACATGGACAAGCAGTCGCCGTCGTCGGGCCAGGACTTGACCATCACCGGTGCCGCAAGGCCGTCGTCGCCTCGCTCCATCCCGCCGCACGCCATGCTTCACCAGGTCCCTCACTATCCCTTCTTCCGCAGCTTTGCCTTGGACAGCCAGCCGTCTTTGCTGGCCGTCTCACAGGATCCCCGTCGGCTCTCGGGGTCCATCAAGCATTCCAGGTTGGATGAAGAGGATATCCAGTATCTCAAACGGAAAGGCGCCCTCAGTCTTCCGCCAAAGGGAGTCATGGACGAGTTTATTTCCAACTATTTCCAGCTCTTCCACCCGTTCTTCCCCATCATCGACAAGTCCAGTTTCCTGGCCAGCTACTACCGAAGTGATCGTGGTGCTGCATCTCTCTCACAGGGCCCAAGTATATTGCTTCTTCAGACCATACTATTCACGGCCAGTGCGGTATGTAACCACTCAGCAGTCGAGAAGCAAGGCAGTGGGTGTGCTTACTGAAGCCTTCATAGACGGTGCCTATAAATGTCGTACGAGACGCTGGCTTCACGACTCGAAAGGAGGCGAGAATCGCACTCCACAAAAGAGCACGGGTGAGTCTCCTTCAAGGTCAAGTTATTAGCATCATGTCCGTACTTGTACTTATACTCGTACTCGTAGTATCTGTACGACTTTGATTTTGAGTCAGACAACATCACAAACATCCAAGCGCTCCTTCTAATGAGCCACTACTACCCGTCCATGGTTGAGCAAAAGCACACTTGGTTCTGGATTCACCAGGCCATCAGCCTCGCGCAAGGAGTTGGCCTGCACCGAAATGCTCCCCAGGAGCCTCAGCGCAAACTTTGGGCAAGGTTATGGTGGGCGTGCCTGGTCAGAGACAGGCTCACCACGCTCGGCACGGGACGCCCAATGCACATCAACAGCCTGGATTGCACAGTTCCAATGCTCACGCTCGACGATCTCAAGGAGGATGGCGATAGCGAAGATGACCAGACAGTCAAGGAGTTTTTCATTGAGTTTGTGAAGCTTTGTCAGTACATGGAAGGGGTGCTGTCGCTCCCTCATAACATCGCTACGGAACCAGGATCACTGGAGGAGCAGATCGGCCTCTGCGAGGATACCCTTCAGCACTGGCGTCTGAATCTAGTCCCCAGCGCGAGGCTGCACGAAGAATCTGGGAGGGATTTTGACAAACGGGGCATCTGCACTCTCTACAGGGCGCTCCTACATCTCATGTACAAGTGAGTCCATCCAGATCCCTGATCTCTGCATTTAGTCTTCTCTCAAATCATCGATATAGCTAACGTGTCAAAGTATTGTCGTCATCGCTCTTCACAAGTCACATCAGGTTTTGGACGAGAGCCGCCCTAGCGGTGCACAACCTCCACTGCCAAAAGTTCAAGCAGCCGCCGAAGACTCGACCCGACTGGCTGGCGAGCTCGTCAAATTAGACCTGATCAAGTATTGTCCGACAATATGGTAACTGCTTCTGTTGCGCCCATGCTACGAGCTGAACGTGGGCTAATGCTTTCGCAGTGTAACAGCTATCCTGCCGCCGCTCATTGTTCATCTTCTCATGATGCGATCCTCGCCAGACCCATCTAGCAGGCAGCCCCATATCGACAGATTCAACAAGTGTATGGGGCTGCTGGAACAGCTTGGCGATATCTATTGGCACGCGAGCTTCTATCACGACTTCTTCAAGCTTGCAGTCATGCATTCACAAGGACCGGCAGCATACACCAACGGGCAAGAACAAGACCCTCTTGTTGCATTTCTCAATGACCACATGCCCGTCAAGCTACCCGTTCTCAGAGGGACAGAACTCTACAGCCAAAACGCCAGTCGGCGGCGTACACCGGCGGGGGATGATGTCGAGGACAATCCTACAAAGCCTTCGGATACACCAAGCCGGGACGATGGCGCTGCTAATCACACGCCAATCGCGACGACTACTGCCGCTGCTCAGACCGGGTTTTTGGCTCCCACGACGCAAGCTTCCGTGCCTTATGAACTTGGCTCTGATGATTTGGGGCTTGGGGCCGTTGCCCTTCCAGACACCAATCTCCAGCTTTTCGAAGACTGGCTCGATGAGTATGGGTATTTTCACAACATCTTTCCATCTGCTTAAGAGTGCCTTGTTTTTGTGTGAGAGTAGCTCTTGAGCACCCCAGCGACTGGGTGGAGTGTAAGTGTCAGAGCGACTGCGAAAATACGAGATGCTGGATAGCAAACTTGGAGTCCTGAAAAGCTACTCTTTCTTCAGCATTAATGTATAGCTGCATATTCATAAACCAGTCCAACTTATGGTTAGGCATCCAAGAGGCATCCAAGCGGCGTCCAAATATGTACACAACATCACAATCTCCGTACACATCAGACACGCCGCAAAGGTCATTCCCACAGCCTACTTCTCCTCCCCGTGAACATTCGCCTCCACCACGTCCTCCACCTGCCTCACCTTATCCTTCAACACCATGCCGTCCTCATCAAACACAGTAAGCGCCTCGCCATGCTCCAAATCTCGCTGGAACAGAGCCCCGATCCTGGTAGCCTCGCGATCAAGGAACGTCCACGGCGATCGTCCCTTGGAGAACAAAAAGTCCATCTCTTCAAGTGTTTTGCCGGCCGACTCGGGGTAGAATAGGTATACGACGACGGACATGAGATAGCAGAGAGCCATGAATATCATGTATAGCTTCCAACTGTTGGCATTGCAACACACGTCAGCACGGTGTCGAAGAAAAGTAAAGTATGGAGAGAAATGCGCACCTGATCTTTGCCATGGCGGTGGGGATATACAAGGCAAACCAGAAATTCTATATTCGATGAGTCTGGCGTTCATCATAGCGATCATCATTGACCTTTTACTTACGATGAACCAGTTCGTCGCAGTTGTCATGGACGTGGCTCGGCCGCGCATGCTCATGCTGAAAATCTCGGGCGGATATACCCAAGCGACACAAGCCCAAGTAATTGCAAACCAGGCAACATATATGTACACGAAGGCGATGATCGTTCGCGATGCCGCGGCATTCGTAAAGTCGAAGTTGGTCTTTTGCGTAAGCGAATCGAAGACGGGGTCACCTAGCAGCGCCAAATCAGTATACGAGATGGTAAATCTACACGAGAAAGGACATCACATACCGTAAGCTTTCATCAGGACACCGATTATCATCATGGAAATGCCCATTCCGACGCCGCCGATGACCATGGGCCATCGCCGACCCCATTTGTCCATGTAGTACATGTTTGGGTATGTGAAGACGTTGAGGACAACGCCTTGAAGACCGTTGGCTAAGAGAGATGAGGAAGTTGCTCCGAGACCGGCTTGTTGGAAGAGAAAGACGGCGTAGTACATGATGCTACGTATGTCGAGTTAGGATCAAGTAGGAGGATGGATGGCGTAAAGCTGACTTACACGTTGATGCCAGTCATTGATTGCCAAAATTGCTGTTTTCGTTAGCCATCACTTGCGAGAGAAAAGGAATCGATGGAAACTTACGACACCAATGCCGATCCACATGCGGCGCCTTTGCGATCCAAGCAGCAAGTCGAAATAGCTGGGTGGCGGGTGGTTCTTTTCAAACGACAGCTTGGCTACAATCTCTGCGAGTTCTGCTTGCACGTACGGATCGTTGATGTCGCCGCCGGCGTGGACTTGGGCGAGCACATGTAGGGCTTCTTCTTGTCTGTCTTTCTGGACGAGCCATCTGGGCGATTCAGGCATGAACCACATGGTGACGTGAAGAGCCACAGTAGCCTACATCTCGTTGGTTACTATTCCCTTTGGATACCGTTAGGGGAGAGGAAGCTTACAATCATTTGTAAACCCATGGGAAGTCTCCATGCCGCGGAGCCGTTGATGTGGCTCGTCCCGAATTGAATCCAGAAAGCAATGAGAATACCGAGATTGACAAAACATTGGAAAACACTGATGATGCGACCGCGAATCCTACACAATCATTAATAACAATTTCGACTTATAACAGCGAATCGACATACTCTCGCGGCGCAATCTCGCTTTGGTACATTGTCACCTATTCAAGTCAGCATCCATCTACAAGCAGCGGTTAAAATTCCTCACCATCATGGTCAAGCATCCATTCCCAAGCCCATTGATGACTCTCCCAGCAACAAGAGCCTCAATGTTATTCGCCGCCGCAGAAATGGCACAGCCAATCGTAAAGATGGCAGAGCCCAGCAGAATCGTCTTCTTTCTTCCCAGCCTGTCCGCAAGGAACGCACCCGTCAGCAGAGACCCGGCAAAGGCCCCTGCTAGAATTGACGCGGTGATTCCTCCTTGACGGAAGTTGCTTGGATTCTTAAAGTATGTTAGGAACTGCGGCATGGCCAAGATGCCGCCTTGGTTGTTGGGTTAGTCGACGTTATTCCCGAAACCGTGGCGTTGCATTTCAGACTCACTCATTGAGCCCGTGTCCTAAACGATAAGCAATTAGTTATTATTACCAGATTTTCAATAGTCTTCCCGTGATATAGCTTCCGCACTTACATATCCAAAGGCTAAGCCGCCGGTACATGGCGCAATGCCGTAGAAATAGACTGCCTGATACACCACAACACCACAACGTCAGCATCTCATTCCATCTCAACTCAACTCAACACATCAAAGAGAACAATGACATCTTTACCTTTCTCACCATATTGACATGTAATCTTAAACAATCAACTTCATCTTATCGTATCAATCACTTACACCCATCATCACCAGCTCAATTATATACCAAACAGCACAACCCAGCGAATACCCGAAATGCCGTCACGAGCATCATGATTGGACAACACCATCGACTTTACCCCAGATTCGTCTAGTAGTCGGCTGACTAGCCGAGACCCCCCAAATACGGGATCATCGTGAACTGGATCCTCCAGATAATTCCCCGACCAACTTCTGGGGTAAGAATGGCATCCAACAGCAGCTTTCCGCCGGGACTTTCGAAGGAGCCGAAGTGCCGGTGGGAGCTTCATGATTGGCCGTGATGTTGTCGGTGCAGGTTGAGGTTTCGACATATATCTAATCGCATGTCGTTGAGCTTTTGAAGCTGTGTGTCCCGCGACTGTGGTAGCTTATTCTGCGTATAAGTATCGTTCGAGGACCTACGATTGTGTTGACTTTTCTCCTCTTTGTCAACACTCGCGGATCGCAACAGTATTAATAGAATCTCACAATGGCGCCTTCACGAACAGACACAGACGGCAATGGGGAGTTCCTGGGCTCTTACACAGCCGCCTCAGAAGTCAAGATTATGGGCTTTGAAGCTCACGGTAAGACAATCATCCCCATCATGAAGCTTACAATCAGAGGCTCATTATACCTTGTTTATACATATAGACTTGAGATTTCCCACCAGCCTCGATCTCTCTGGCTCAGACGCCATGAACCCCGGCCCCAACTACAGCGCCGCGTACATCATCCTCAAAACAAACACTGATCTCCAGGGCCACGGCTTCGCATTCACAATCGGCCGCGGCAACAACCTGTGCACAACCGCCGCCGAGATGATCGCCGAGCGTCTCGTCGGAAAGTCGCTTGCCGAGCTGACGGAGAACATGGGCCAGACGTGGCGGCATCTCGTCTCCGACTCGCAGCTGCGCTGGGTCGGTCCGGAAAAGGGCGTCATTCACTTGGGCCTGAGCACATGCGTCAATGCTGTCTGGGATCTCTGGGGGCGGTACTTGAATAAGCCGGTGTGGAAGATTGTGGCGGACATGACGCCGGAGGAGTTTGTTAATTGTATTGACTTTCGGTATATTGTTGATGCCATCACTCCCGAGGAGGCTGTTGCGCTGCTGCGAGAGCAGGAGAAGACCAAGGCTGCAAGATTGGAAGACGCGCGCGTTAGCAAGGCTGTGCCGGCTTATACGACGCAGGCTGGGTGGTTGGGGTTTTCTGACGAGAAGATGGTGCAGCTGATTAAGTCGAATCTTGATCAGGGCATGGACAAGTTCAAGTTCAAGGTTGGCGGCAACCTTGAGGACGATGAGAGACGATTGCAGATTGCTCGTGATACCATCGGATACGATCGTCTGCTCATGGTGGACGCCAACCAGGTGTGGAGCGTGCCCGAGGCAATTGACTACATGCTTCATCTTGTCAAGTATAAGCCACTGTGAGTTGTTTAGCGATCAACTCGGTTGTGATGGATAAGCATACTGACATGTTCTAACCTTGCAGTTTCATCGAAGAGCCTACGTCGCCTGACGATGTCCTTGGCCACGCCGAGATCAGAAAGGCCTTGAAACCGCATGGCGTTGGCGTTGCCACCGGCGAGCATTGCCAGAACCGCGTCATGTTCAAGCAGCTCCTTCAGGCCGGATCGATCGACTACTGCCAAATCGATGCTTGTAGATTAGGCGGCGTAAACGAAGTCATGGCCGTCTTGCTAATGGCCAAGAAGTGAGTCTACAAGCGAATACTTTACCCAAGCCGTCAAGTTCATGTAACTAACTTTATTCCGTAGATTCAATGTGCCTATTGTTCCTCACAGCGGAGGCATTGGCCTGAATGAATACACGCAGCATCTTGCTCTGATTAACTACCTGTGCGTGGCGGGAGAAAAGAGCTTGCTGGAACACATTACTTCGTTCCGCGAGGTGCTTACGAATCCTTGTCAGACCAAGGATGGGCATTTTGTTACACCGCATGAATCGGGGTATAGCGTGGAGTATAAACCTGAGGCGATTGAGAAGTATACTTATCCTTCGGGGAGCTTTTGGAGGAGTGAGCGGGGATTGGCGATTATTAATGAGCCAAAGATGTAACATTGCATATGAGATCTAAGGACGTATTGTATAGAGAGAAAGGAATATTGGGATAAGGAGTGACTATTCAACACTCCAAACTGCCAAACCTGATTATACAACTTCTCGGCCATTCTTGAAGCTTGGGCGAGCTAGGAGCCTCTCAAGCCACTTTTCTATATGGGGAAACTCTTGAAGAGAAACACCGTCCGAGACTATTATAAGAAGTATCTCGATTAGCATCATGACCTACATAGTATATATAGGAAAGGGACTTGCCGTGATTGACAATCCAGCCAAAACAGGCTATATCGGCGATAGTGACGCGGTCGCCGACGAGCAGCCCGTGTGGAGATTTGGCCAGGTGGGTGTCCATGGTGCGATAGAGGCGATGAGTCTCATTGGCGTAGCGGTTGATGCTGTACTCAATCTTTTCGGTTGCGAATCCTATGGTATCTGCTTAGTATGTGACCCATTGAGGAGTTACATTTCACAAGAGCTTACTTCGGAAATGCTCTAGTTGTCCTTGCATGGGGCCCAGGCCACCGATCTGCCATGAGAGCTGAGATGTAGTGTCAGTTGTTTGGAGCCCGAGCCGTACAATTAGTTCCGGGAACTCCACGAACGTACCCAGCTCTTTACCTCCCAATATTCACGGGAGTCTCTTGGATATGAGACTTTGTTGTCCTTGTCGTAGCGGTCAACGAGGTACTCCATGATAGGTCCGCTTTCAAAAACACGGATCTTTTGTCCGTCGGACCATTCATCTGTGATGGCGGGGATTCGGCCATTGGGGTTGATTTCCAGATACCATGGCTCTTTCTGCTCGTTCTCCCTGAGCTTGACGCGGTACAACTACGATGCGTCAGTTTCTTGATTCTCAGTCACTGTTTGTTTACGAGAACGGATGTCTCTTCGCACCTTGTAGTCGAGCCCAAGCTCTTGAAGCAGGATTGGAACTTTGATCCCGTTTGGAGTTGACGCGGTGTAAAGCGTAATGTTGGTCTTGGTAGCCATGCTGACTGATTGGAGTTGTCGCTGTGCAAAGCAAGGTGTCTTTTTCTTCTCAAGGACGAATCGGCAAGGTACAGACTGTAACTGATGGCGGATGAAGCTATGTCTTATTGTCGATTGCATTGTCTTGGGGAGATGAAGTAGTTGGAAAACAAGGCTGATTTATGGTTTTAAGCTTAGAGAGTATGGCAGACAGTCTCTGGAATCCAAGTCCGAAATCCCCACCCTTCGCCCTGTTAATACCTAGACAACTACACATGAGCCCGGTTTAGCCTCGCATCTCCCGCCTTCTTTCCATCATTTGGCGGCTTCATAATGTTGACTAACGGGCGATTTGTCACTTCTGATGTGTGTTAGTAACAGAGTACCAGGGCAACATGGCCCGCCATCATGTACGTCAGTTAGTCAAGGCGTGATGGAGAGCCAAAATCGCTGAATCGTTTTCGGCCCACATTGGAACGGTTTGGTGCGTGTTTGTGCGGGAAGCACATTGCCTGCAGATATCCGGCTTGTAGATATCCAGCAAGATTATGCTGTAAGGATACTTGAAAGCTCACGTCATAAATGCATGTCCTGACAATTGAATACATGTATTCAGTCAAAGATTACATGTTGCCCTGTAAATTTGCTCCGAATGCCACTCAACATACAATTCTTAACCTCAACTTATCTGATCTCATTTCTTCTCGGTCCATCAATCTTGGCACCTAGGGCATCGATGACATGAACTTCCGTGTATACAAAAAGAGCAGCTTCCCCTGTGCTGTGTTCTACCGCAAGTCTTAACAGATAACTCGACAGTACCTGCGTGTTGCAAGACGTCTTGTGTGTTAATATACTCACTGTGAATCACCTCAACCAAGATCACTCCATGAACCAAAATAAATCATGTGACAACAGCACGATTCTCTCTCGCTAATAGTCGTCCCAGTCACATTGCCGTGGTGATGTCGGATTTGTTACAAGCACATTGCGCGTTAATCTTGGATTTCTGAAACGAGAATGTTGCTTCTCCAAATACATTCATAAGTCCGAGCGTGGTATCCGCATGAGGCTATGTACAGCCTCCGGAGGAAGTCGAAAGAATTCACCTAGATAGATGCGAGCCGAAAGAAAACACACGTTCCGGAAAGGCTTTTCGTCTCGGACTATGACGAATTCAATATCCAGCCCGCGTATATATGATTCGAACATTTAGCTGATCATCAATAAGCCAAGCCGTTCTTGTTGACAACAGAGATGGCGATAAAATGAAATTCGTAGTGAAAAAGCGTTGCCAGTCAAACAGCTGGCAGAACATGTTTTCAACAGCTGGCAGATTAAAGCCAAACGGTATACCTGTACAGTCAAGCACAAAAGTATCAACGCACAGCTGTAACCCTTTTCTTTCCCTTTCTTCTTCTCTTTACATCATTTTCCTTCTTCATCCCCTCTCTTCCTTCATCGCTTTAAAGACAGCTCCTCCTGCTCGCCCTTCTGGTATGTGCCGTCGCTCATCCCTTCTCAATCTGTTACTCATTATTCATTAATTAACTTTTCCTTTTGAAGTGACAAGATGGATCGAATCAAGAAAGCCGCTCCCGCTTCCACGAGTGTCAACTCGCAAGGAAAGGTGGCGATGGTCGAGCAAGAAGGAGACGAGGATTTCCGCAAGCGTCTCGCGGCGAAAGCGACTCGCAAGACCATCCTACGGAAGATTGCTCGCAGGCGTTCTACTTTCCGTCGCAGCCCCAAGCGGCGCTGGGAACCTGGCAGTAAGTCCATGTTTGTTGCGCGTATTATGTATGTTACGATTCTAACAATTTCAGAGGTTGAGCACCGCCAGGTCAATAAACCTCAGAGGATAACAAAGCTAGTCATCCACAAGACACCCTTCATTGGACTCTGCCGGTCTATTGTCTCTGAGATTGGTTGTCGCCTTGGCTTTGACAGTGTTGCAATGGACGCGCTTCAAGTAGCATGTGAAGCCTTCCTCGTCGATTATTTCGCCGGTAATTTTCTATTATTCTTGCTATCAGAATTAAAACTAATATGTCTAGTACTTAATCTTACTGCGCTTCATGCAAACCGTGTCAAAATCATAGCCGATGACGCCGCATGTGTGAAGCAGCTGATGAATCTCTTTAAGCCAACTCCAAATAAAAGGTCTACACGCAATCAGATTTGGTTCCATCAATTAAGATGGCCTAAGGCTTTCTATGCCACTTGGTTTTATTGCGAGCGAGTTACAGTTAAACGTGGGTTTACTGAGTACAGGTAGATACCGAATTAGCTAGTTTGCTCTTGATAATACTAGCATTTTATTCGGAACCGGTGTCATCCAATAGGAGTTTGTTACAATTGGTTGTTACAATTTCGACACATATTTTAGGCATTTTAGAGGCCGTGCGGTTGTATTGTCAAGTCGGCATCGAATCTGGCAAACAACGGCTCGTTGGTCAATATGTGAACGCACATCGCCGAAATTGAGCGGCGTCCGGCCATTTTCGGCCACTCTCTTTAGTGATACGTAGACGATAATGTAGCCCGCACGTAGGCCAAACGATGAGGTCTCAATAATTGATATAGTCAAACGATGACGTATCATAATATTGACTCGATATTGTATACTTATATAGTCACTGCCTATGTAGAGCGGGAAGCCAGTCCCTCGTTCAACTCTAACCTCCTCACTATCACTCATCATTTCTCCGCGCTATCAACATAATGACTACCGATCATATCAATACGGAGGCGCTTTTGACCAAGTGGTCCGATCTGTTGTTCAAATCTCGGGCTGTCAAGCTTGACGCAGCGGATATCACTAGCAAAGAAGTACATCCGCTTATTCTGCTCGACAACGTTAGCCAAGTGCTCCTCAAGCAGGGAGCTTCTCGAGAAAGTCACGTATTCTCTCAGATCTCTGAAATTGCCTCAACCTCACCCAACTATGGAGGTCTTGGGCTGAATACAGATGTGCAAGTCACTGAAGATGATATACACGAGATTAGCTTTCTCATCTCAGCCTGTGAGCAGCCTTCAAATTCCACCCACACACTCCATATATCCCATGTTGTTTATGCCATGTACTGACCTCTTAATTCAGGGCTAGAGGCACTCAACTCGGATGACCGAAAGAAATCCACGCAGGCCAGCACCCAAAAGCTAGCTCCAAAGGATAGACCGCCAATGACTGTTACCGAAAAGATATTCGCTATGCACGCCATTGACTCTAAAGGCTATGTAAGAACTGGTGACACTATCCGAGTATCTTTGGACTGGATCATGGCTTCAGAGGCGTCATGGGCTGTAAGTCACTCCAAATTTTCCCATCATCAATGCTGAGCCACGATGAATTTTGTGCTAAAATCCAATTCAAGGGTATGGAAGGAACCTATAATCGCCTGGGAAGTCCTGGCATCTTCCGCAATGATCGCTTCTGGCTTGCCGGTGACCACGTCGTAGATCCTAGGATCAAAGGCATGCCTCAAGTTAAGAGGCTCATTGAGTCATCTGAAAAAGCGCGCAAGGTCTTTAAAATGACCGAGTACCAGGGGATGAACGTAGGTCAAGCCAACATCACATTCACATCCATGCTTAGAGCCAGAGCTTGCTAACGCCAGTGGCAATTCAGTACACCATCATGCATACAGAGTTTTTCAGAGAGCGTGCCCAACCAGGTATGCTCCTCATCGGCTCCGATTCCCACACATGCTCTTCCGGCGCAGTTGGCTGTCTTGCCATTGGGCTTGGAGCGGCGGATGTCACCATGGGTCTCATCACGGGAGAGACGTGGTTCAAGGTGCCTGAGGTTGTCAAGATTGAATTCGTGGGACAACCAAGTCGTGGAATTGGAGGCAAAGACGTCATTTTATACGTACTGCAGCGACTGAAGAGGAACACGGTTGCCTCGGATCGCGTGGTCGAGTATACAGGGCCTGGTCTTAGTTATCTTTCCCCAGATGCACGTTTTGCAATTTCCAACATGACGACGGTCAGTTGTTGAGTCTTATTACGGTTGGAATGGATCGAATTAACAAGTTCTTCACAAATATAGGAGTTGGGAGGTGTGACTGGGATTTTCACTCCGGATCATATAACCAAGGCATTCATTGATGGACGAAGAGTGGCGCGACATAGGAACGCATCAACCTACTTTCGTGCAGACGAGGGCGCAGTCTACGCCGAATCGCACGTCATCGATTTAGCCAAGGTTGAATCCTTTGTGGCTAAATATCCGAATCCCGATGATGTCGTTCCGGTGACAGATGTCCTGGGCATGAAGCTGGATGGGTGCTTCATTGGAGCCTGTACCACAGCAGAAGAAGACATCATTCTCGGCGCCTTGGTCTTGGAGCAAGGGCTGAAGAGCGGACTATCTCCATCAAAGGACGGCAAAAAGAGAAAGGTGGTCCCTGGATCTCTACCTATTCTTGACAAGCTGCGAAAATCGGGACTTGCACAGATTTATGAAGATGCTGGCTTTGAGATTGGTGTTCCAGGATGCAGCTATTGCGTGGGTATATCTGCGGATCGCGCGAAAGAGTCTGAAGTTTGGCTGTCATCTCAGAATAGGAACTTTGAGAACCGTATGGGCCAAGGTTAGTGAAAGTATTGCCCAAGCCAACGAAAAAGGAGACTCATCATGGGATTTTAGGTTCCATCGGAAATCTCGCTTCGGCTGCGACTGTGGCAGCGTCGTCTTTTCAGATGACCGTGACAAACCCGCAACATTTCATTGATCTGATCCCTCCAGAAAGATGGGAGCTCTTGAACGGTCGCGGATCTCTAAAGGGAAAGCTGTCAGGAAAAGAGCCGGACTGGGTTGAGCCAGCAAGTCCTGTTGAAGCAACACCAGAAAGTGTATTGAGCGACAATCAGTCGGCAACACCAGTCACTCAAAATGATGATTCCAAGGATTCAGATGTGGTAGCGGCAGAGGCTTCAGACCAGCTTGAGAAGAAAGGAGAAAAGCTTATTCACGGAAAGGTCCAAAGACTCGGAGATTTCGTTGATACAGATGCGGTATGTCTCTCTTGAATCGCAGCGTATTGCTAGCAGTGAGCCTAACAAAGAGCAGTTGGCACCGGCCCAGTTTCTTGTCTCATCTAGAACAAATGAAGAGATTGGATCCCACTGCCTTGAATATACAAATCCAGAGTTTCGCACTCGAGCCAAAGAAGGCTTCAATGTCGTGGTGGCAGGCAAGGCATTTGGCTGCGGCTCTTCACGGGAGCAGGCGGTATCAGCACTACTTGGTATGTATAGCCCTCATATTCTTCCCTTCTATTTATTTGACCTATATATTAATGATTGACGTGGTGAAGGATGTGGTATCAAGTGTGTGATTGCCGAATCTTTTGCCTTTATTTACGGCCGCAATCAGCCCAGCCTCGGCCTCTTTGGATTTACCATGGACGACCCGGCCTTTTTCGAGGCAGCCGTAGACAGTGCAGAAATCAGTATTGATTTGGAAAACAATCGGATTAACATTGGAGAAGCCGAGTTTTCTTTCCAGTTGTCTACCATGGAGAGAGAATTGGTAGAAGCAGGAGGCATCACTCCGGCATTTAAAAAGTTTGGCAAACAGCTCTTTGACATGATTTGCGGCAGCACCAAGGACGCCGGGAGAGCTGTGGAAGTTGGTGGCCAGGCGGCCGGTATGCAATGGTAAATGTCACCCAATAGATAGTGACCAAAATACAGCTATTATATAACCTGTCTGAGGCTTTCTTCTTGGTGATTAGACATTCTATTGGTTGTTGTCATTGTCATGACACTTCAATAACACGAAACGGGCAGCTTACAAAGTCACGTGCCAGCGCTCACCACGTCTCCTGTAGCCAATCGGCCAATCTCGCCATCTTTCATCTCATTGTAAACTCACTTCTCACGGGACAGAAACATGTATTGATGGCTCCTGAACGAGTCCGAGTGCGTCGTCATCCAGCATGTCGAGACTGTAGAGTGCAAAAGGTAAGTAATCATCATCATCATTATGATACCACGCTTCATTCGCTGATATACGGCTACCGTGTAGGTCAAATGTGATGCCGAGCCCCCTGCTTCGTGTACGCGATGCCGCCACATGCAGCTTTCTTGTGTTGTCGAACGCACTCCGGCATCTCGGCGGACCAAAGCGCAGCTGCAAAGCGAGCTGGAGGCCATGAGACGCCGCACTGCAGATGAGGAGAATGACACTGTATTAGACAGCCCCACACCCGGACGAAGGATGGCGAGACCTTCCGGCGTCGATGTTGCGGCTGGAGCTCCGGATTCTATCCCAGATGCGGCAGAAGTTCCATTCTTGACTCCACTGCTTGTTTCGGCTTCGGCTTCAGATGCGGTACTTGCCAGTCCACAGCCAGCAACGACGCCCTCAACAGCTAAGGAGAGTGGTGGTCATCAGTCTCTCATATTACAGAATGATTCAAACGAATCAATAGCTAGCGGCAGAGAGTTTGATGGGCAACTGGTATCTGGTCGCAAAATTCAGGACTGCTTCGATCTGTATACCTCCCAATTGCTTGCCAGCCATCTGGACCCCGATACTGACTATCCCACAGATTCTTTAGCTTGTACGCCCCATTCTTGCCGACCTCCCAACTAGAACCAAACCCAAACCAATGCTATGAGCAGTCTCCATTCTTATTCTGGGTTATAGTTTACATCGGCAGCAGACGCTATACCGGTGACCCAACTATGCTGGGTCGACTCGCCCCAAGGATTAATTCAATGGCCTTTGCATCCCTGGAGTCAAGGAGCAGCCCCATACAGGCCATCCAGGGCATACTGTTGCTATGTCAGTGGCCAACTCCGGTCAATACTATGCACAGAGGCATTAGTCTTGTTCTCGCGGGTGCAGCTCTACACCTTGCCATGCAAATCGGGCTGCACGTAGCAGGGGTTGGTCAAGACTTTGCAAGGACGATACTGGACGGCAACAGGCTCGAAAGAGCTAATCGCGCCATGTTATGGAAGCAATGCTGCATAACTTGTTACATGTGAATCTCCGACTCCCAGTCACGCATACAACGACCAAACTGACTCTCTTTTGCTCTCAATAGCGTTGGGCTTGGAGAAGGGATTTTGCCTCTGGGTTTAAGTGATGCGTTCACTTTACCAGTTCTCTCAGATGGAGGAGACGGTGGCGACGATACAAGCCCTCAACAAGAGACCAAGCTACCTCTCAGACTGTGCGAAATCATGATTTGCGCAACTGAGGCTTTGAGGAGAATCCATGGCGGTCGTGACCCCGAAAAAGCTGCGTCACTACTATCGTGTATTAGTTTGTTTGATGCGCAGCTAACGAGAGCTGCGTCTCAAGGGCAAACAGCCATCGGTAAGAACAGTTTCTTCCGGGAAGTTGACTCTGACATAGTGCTAATGGTCGAGAAACAAGATTCTATTTATTTCCAGTGCTTCCGTCTACATCTCCTTTCATGCCACTTCCTCATAGACCCAGCGTCTCGAAAACTCGAGGCCTTTCTTCCTCTTTTCGCAGTCGCATGCAGCTTCGTCAACACCGCGTGTCAGCAGTCGTGGAATGAAGGGGCTACCGCCAAGAATGCACCCGTCGTTGTTCAAAAATCTGTTATGCTGGCGGCTTTTACAATTCTGAAAATTCATCGCAGTGAGCTTGCACCACACTTGGATCTTCAGGCCGGTGAGCAAGCTTACTTCGCCGCCATATTCTTTGCCCGAGAAGAGTCGCTGCAAAATAATGATCTGAGCGCGAGGGCCGCTTCCATACTCGGCCAATTATGGAACAGCCAATCGATATTTAAAAATAAGGATGGAACAGTGGATAGCCTTACCAGTCGAATCTCTAGTAGGTTGTCAATGAGCATCCTCTTTGATTGCCTATGGTGGTGGAGACAGGAATTTGGTGGGTTGGGCAATCCTTACGAGAATAGACAGCAGAGTAAGTTTCTAATTGCGCCTTTTGTTGTCCAGAAGCCGTTTACTCACATGATATACAGCTCGATCCGAGACCTTGATTGGAAATGAGAATGTCACTTCGTATGCGCTGCCAGCAACTGGTGATGTAAATGCAGTGCCGGACATTCAGCAATCGGCACCATTTGCTGATGAACCTTTTGTTGACTTTGATTGGGCTATGAACCTAGATATGACTGATTGGCCTATGTAGCATAATTTGACATAGATACTACTAACTGACATTTAAGTATTCGGTATAATCACTACATGTAGCTTTCATTTGGACATTCTGGATGCTGGTTGATTGACTTGGGGTGCTGAATACACACTCCGTTTATTATTGTACAGCACGCTATCTCAGATTGCCTAATCTATATAAGAAGCAGAATCAACATTTAACTGCTTTGATGCCAATAGATCATCTAATCTAACATCAAGTATAGTTCAACTAAGATGAGCAAAAGGTCGAATCATCCAATCGGATTCGCCGTCTTGCCCATGAGCAACTGACTCAATACACCAAGATCACTACAATCCTCAAGATTTAGAATAACACCTTCAATCTGTTGCCTTCGCTCGTCGTCAATAACATTAGCCGTAATGTTCTTCCACTTTTCAAGGATCTCATCATTGCTCAGCAGCGGCTTAACGCTCTTCGCCAAGTGCCGATCCGCAATGATGGGCTCCGACCTGCCCTTGAACCAGACACTCACTCGAGTTCGCATCTTGTCAAAGTCGTTGTTGAGCTCACACGTCGTCTTGTCCACCAATTCCCAGACTTCATCTCTCTCAATCGCCTGGGCAGAGAATTGAGCTGGAAGAATTGCACTGTCAACAATGTATGTGGCTGCAACATACGCGTTGCTCATCTGCGCTCCCGTCGCTGTCAAGGGACGCTTGGTGTCCCATCCTCCGTGCTCAAAAGCAGGCTTGCTCAACTCAATTAGAATTCTCTCAATCCCGGATAAATCATTCATCAATTCGGGATAAAGCTGACGCAGATCTGTCAAGCAATCCACCGTGTTGTGTGTGCCCGCCATGCTGGCATATGGCTTGACTGCAACGCCCTTCATCAGCCAATCTCGGCCAAGCCCTTTGGCGATTTCATCGACCTTGTACTGCGGCTCCATGCTGTTACCGCTGGTGAATTGCTTGAGAAAGCCGCCGTATTCGCGTTCAAATACGCGCTTTATCCCAATGTAGCCAGTTTGTGCGAGGATTCCGCCCAAGAGGCCGTTTCTTGCTGCGAAACCATGCTGCATTCGCTTCACTTCAGACTCGAACTGCGCGGACATTAATCCACCAGCCTGAGTGCATGCGATACCAAAAGCATCTTCAATGGCGCCGGCTGATAATCCGAGAAATTTCCCTACCGCGGCGGCGGATGCGGGAGGGCCAAAGACGGCGCCTGAATGCCATCCCATGGACAACATGTGAGGTCCATGAAGAGCAAGGCCAACGCGAGGCCCAACTTCCAATCCAGCAATGTATGATACTATGAAATCCTTGCCGGTTCCAGAATAAGAAGATGAAGCTGCGCTTGGCTTCAAGGACAAATGATCAGATGCGGCGAGCAAGGCGGGAAGAATGATGCTATTCGAATGCAGAGGAGCTCCGGTGTGCCAATCATCCAGCTCAAATCCCTGAATGAATGAGCTGTTTAGCAAGCACGCATTGAGAGCATTGATTCGGCGCTCATAGCCAATGACGCCGGCCGAGCCCTCTGTAAGTTCCAGTTCTATCAGAGCTTGAGTCGCTTTTTCGGACCACGGTAGATGGGCGCCGACTAAGCCGCATGCGATGCCGTCAAGAATGAGATATTTGGCACGGACACGAAGGTTTTCTGGGATATCGTCATATGTGAGGGAAGATATCCATGTACAAAGCTGTCCTGTTGGGCTTGATGGGTCGGAGGGAACGTCCGATGGAGTTGCAGCAGCGGTATGGGTCATGATTGATTGACTGTATCTCGACGATGCTGAAGAAATGGGTTCAAGGGTATACTGATGTAATTAATTGTTGCAGAAAACAACCATCTCGAGCTATAACATGTACTTATTTATTGGACATTTGAGCAGACAGTATCGTGGTGTTGTTGAACGCTGTCAGCACTACGCAATCGGCGAATATCGGCATTTGGTAATGACGACGGAGGCGGCCATTCTCGGCAGGCCGGATCTCGCCAGATCTGGGTAGAGTGAATGTTGATGACGATTCACGACGTATTAGTATAGGAAGAGATAAATAATAGAAGTATGTAGGCAGTAAGAGAGGAAGTAGATATCTCCATCTAGAACTTCCTCATTGACGCACGTATCGTTATCATCACCATGTCTAATCAGACGCAGCAGACGGCGGTGGCTAGACTCCGAGCCCAATTGGCAGAGCCCGACAATATCATTGTGTGTCCGGGCGTATACGATGGCTTCACGGCTCGTATAGCTCTCAAAGCCGGCTTTGACTGTTTATACATGGTTGGTCCATTGTTGTGTAGGTATTCAGCGTGCTTTTGCTAATATACAGGTTTAGACAGGAGCCGGCACGACAATGTCTCGGCTGGGAATGCCAGATCTAGGTATAGCTACACTCAACGACATGCGAGATACGGCTTCTATGATTGCCTCGTTGGACCAAAGCGTGCCTCTCATCGCGGATGCAGACACCGGATTTGGAGGTAGGTAAAGCTTTATGAAGACACCCTTGCATATCCATCTTATCATTGCACATGGTTAATAATTGTGTATCGTCTATACTTCCTCAAGGCCCTGTTATGGTTGGGCGAACTGTGTCCCAGTACATGCAAGCCGGGGTGGCCGCGCTGCATTTAGAAGACCAAGTCCAGTCCAAACGCTGCGGCCATCTCCTGAACAAGCAAATCGTCCCTGAAGACGAGTTTCTATCTCGCATCCGAGCTGCCAACATAGTCAGGAGCAAGCATCTCGGCGACATTCTCATCATCGCCCGCACAGATGCCCTGCAGTCCGAGGGCTACGAAGTGGCAAGGGATCGCCTCAAGGCCGCCATCAAAGAAAATCAATTGTCAGCACGCGATCCGATGATAGCAACCAAGAGCCATTGACTGCCGCCGAGCGTTGTCGGTCAATGAAGCTGCGTTGCCGA